TTTGGGCAGTGAGTTCCAGTCCACTAATGTGCGTGGGAGAAATGATTGCTTGTGGTAGTTTTTGTTTGCTTGGATTGGTATGAAGTTGGTAGTAGGTGAAGTTTGTCCTGTAGACCGTTGGACCGGATGCAGGATATTTTTTGCGGAAATGGCGAGCGACCCCCTAGTGCTTGATGGAAGTTCTTGAGTCGGGCAACTTTCCACCTAGTAGCTAGGTCCTCCCAGTGTAGATCCTTTTTCATGGCAGTGACACTGCTCCCTCTGCTGTATATCCCTGTAACAAACCGAGCTGCTCTATTTTGGACTGCTTCAAGTCAGAGATAGGTGATCAAACTATGCTTGGTGTTAGCAGCCATGCTGAGCCCATCACAGTGTTGCATCTTTATATAAATTGTCTGACTGACTGCTCAAGTAATGCGATCAGATCAAAACAGCCGTCAGCAATTACAAATCAACATTAGATCCTTACAACGGAACTCAAGCTGTAACCCTAGAGAAGCGCAGCCTGCCATGCCATATTGATGTCATTTTGAGCGAGAGAGCTTCCATTTGATGCCCTTGGCACTTCTTCTGTCAATCTGAATACAGATTTCACCTCATTGGTTGCTGCCTGTCCATCACTCAAAAAAAAAGGCTTATCTCCTAAAATGATGTTATTTTTGTATTATTTTCAAAAGTTTTCTGACGGATATGGACACTGTTTGCAAACATTCAATAATTAAATTGCCAAAACACTATGAAACATCTAACTTGATTGTAAGTAAATAATAAGATCAGGCATCTTGTGAAGTCACTGTTCGTAGTGTGCTGTCATTTTTTGAGAAATGTGGAATTATAATCATTTCCTCTCTGTTTAGGACCAAAATATCAGGAGAAATGCAGAATGCCACAAATTTATGGAATTTAACAGAAACCTTGCTTTTAGTCCAGAAAAATGAAGATGCGGTTGTTTTTTGTTTTTTACTGTTTTCTAAAAACTCTACTGAGTTGAAATTTCGATGTGTTAGTGTTTTAATAGCCTGCTTCAGATTTATTGCATTGTTGTTCTTTGAATTGGCAAAATACATTTTTTTATTTTGTAAATGGTGTCCATTACCTTTAATTAAGCTGAAAAGTTGAGGAAAAAAATTCTGGCAGACTTTAAGAGTTAAAAGTATTGAGATCATTCAATTTATGGAAATGGCCACATTATTTTGTGTTTCATAATTCTCTATTGGAGAATGTTGTCGTAATGCATTCTCCTGAAATCAAGAGAACTCAAAATGCATCTGAATGCACTACCAACACTTCAACTCTGACTGTTCTGATTTATAGGATCGCCAATATGATTTTGCGCACAGTCTGACCAAATCAAGGATTTCATGTGCCCCATCCAAGTAAAGAAACTAGATCATGGTCATTGTGCAGCTTTTTCTCTATATCGATTTCTGGGATCAACTTGCACATGAGGCTTTATTGAATGGTGTTTGAAAAGGGTTTTTGGTCACCATTGTCATTGTTTTGTGCGATCAGAAGTTGGTATTGTGTGTTTTCCTTTGATGCTAAAACTGATGTGTTAGTTGCGCACTTTTGCGCAGGTGTCTGCCAGTTGGGGTTGCCTGTTGCACCTGTCTAACAGACTGCGAGATACTATATGCTTTTTTCTTCTGCCCTAAATTAATTTCGCATGTTTCATAGTAAAATTTTAGGGTAATTTTTTAGGCCAAAAAAAAAAGTCTCCGGTTTCTGGTATGGAGCTTGCCCCAAAAGTGGTGCGGCGACACAGCTTGTTTTTTTTTAAATTTTTTAAATTTTTTTTTTTTCAAATGTTGGCTGATGACTGCAAATGGTGCCAGACTAAATTTAGTGCATAATATATGGGAGTCTAGAAAGGCCACATAAAGCTTATACTCGATCATAACCCCATCTAAAAACACGTTAAAATTGTGCAGCAGCAGGATTCTAGTCAAACCAGTGAGTTTGGCGGTTTTAAGACATCATCTTACATTGAAAAAAAACTTTTTCATTTTGCCGACGTGCATGGCTACAGCGACGCGCGCATACCAGAAACCAGACTTTTTTTGGGCCTAATCTTTGGACATGGTGGACTTGTTGATAAGAGCTGATTGTTTGTACATTAGCCCGACCAGTGTCACAAAAAAAAAAATTGGCTCATTTGAATGAGTGTCAGTAGACAACTTTAGCAATTGTTATAGATTGGGGCATATTGTTCCGCCTTACAAAAAACACTATATTGATAAAAAGAAAAGAAAAGGGCAAACAGATACTTGAATCATGCTTACGAAACTACTGACTGGAAAAAAACTAACAATTTTAAATGTCCCGCGCTGCGAAATGTCAACGCACTGGGAATAACGATCTCCCGTGGCAAACTCTTGGTGGCGTACTGCATTGTGATTCACCCGAATTGATCATGATCTGAATATGACCTTCAGGCCTGGTGACATCATGGTTTATGATTCAGTGACACAAGGTTCCAGGAACTTTTGGACGGCTATCTGATGATGAATGTGCATTTTGTTTCTTCACACAGCTTCGCAGATTTAATACTAAAGTTGCTCTTCCAGTGCTATTTTGAGTTGTACCCGAAAAATATATTTCATATTTAAACCTTTAGTCACTGTATCACCCCCAACCGCCTTGCCTATTACTCACTGCAGTGCCCTAAATAAAAAACAAGCACTCTATGGTTTTATTGATTCCTCAGCAATGTCATGCAATGTGGTACAGGTGTTAATAGGTTAAATTGCTATTGTTCTAACAGGTACATGCCGAACAAAACAATCCGCCCACATTTAGTATTACAAATTTATATTACTTCACGTTATCTTTACATTATCTTTTTGTGCATTGTGGGCACAAAAGCAACCCAAAATAATTTCAGAGAGAGAGTTGGAAATGTCAAAAATAGACAAACTAAACCCTGCTGCTATTTTAACAGTCACAGACAGTCAAAATACACTTGCACTTCCCCTGCTATACTTTTAACAAAGGCTAGTCACCAGCAGTCAGATCATGTGTCAAGCAACTTAATACTTTGTCCAGTCAAACTAGGTCAACAGACAAAGCAGGCAAGCTGTGGTCAGCTGTTTTATTACTATTCAGAAGTCAAAGCATAGCTACCTATATCAAGTCAAAACAGCTAGTCACAGCCAGTCTATGGGCTCCATGTGCAACAAAAGAGGGCGCCCTTTTTCCTAGCAACGACGTCCCATGTGCGGGGCACGTACATTTCGCTGGTTGACGCATTTACTATCTACAAGCATTGGCCGCGCTTTGCGGCAACTAAAAATGTTGCAGTCGGGCAAGATGGCGTAGTTCGATCACCCCCAACTGTACTTTTTTTGCCGGTGAGGGGGTACTTGTGAACGGAACGGATCCTGCTTTATATAGGCTGTGAATTCTTGACTGTTGAAAACAGTCACTTGATTGATTTTTTACAACTTGGCACCGAATGTATGTTTGCATAGGAGGGTTCAAAGAAAACGTAAAAAATTCAAATTTTTGGAAAAAAAGTTGAATATGTTTTAGCACAACAAATCTCATGTGTTTATCTAACAGCTTTCAAACTAAATCCAATCAAATCTGACTCTGTTAAAGTCTGATGACTAGTTCAAGCTGACCTGGAACAGGATGTTAACATGGATTAATTATGCCACGCAATAAGTAGGCTGCAGTTGCATAAGTTGCTGAATGTTGGCAGTTGCATAAGAGCAATTGGATGACTACATGTATGTGTCAGTTGCTGTCACAAACTATTAGGTTGGGTTTATAGGTGAGTTGTATATTGCTCTTGCAACTTTTTATAAAAACTTTTTAACAACTGAGGTGCATCATGTAGCTGTCTTTCAACCATGAATCATTGGGATTGATCATGGGGTTAGACTATTTTGTTTGATATCGATTATTAGAACAGTTGAATCAACTCACAAATTGTTCCTACAGCTCCACAGGATAGTGTTACAATTTTTGTTCAATAACTTAAGACTACTGTGGGGTATGTCATGAATGATTTTGTTACTTGTGATTAAACTTGGTTTGTCAGTATACTTATTAATAGATTTCTAGTTCTGCGGGTCGTAGGGTGCTGTGAAGTTATGACTTACTGTATGGTGCAGTGGTGAAGCATCCGGGGGGTGGGGGTGGTAAGGGGGGTATTTAACACAGCCCCACCCCCCGATATTTTTACATGAGTGCCCATCTTTTTTCATGAGTGCCCTTGTTTTTAAATAACGTACCGCCACGAAGAGTGCCACCTACGTGCACTGTCCGATAGTGCCCATGATCGTCCGCTTTGGCCCCATAGGAAGATGTCGTCAGGCCTCCCCCCCCCCCAGACCTATGGAGCCAGTCTCTAACATATTAAATTAAACACCTGACACAGAAGGCTCTCAATGTTTAATTGGAAAATCCTGTTGTGTCTTGAGTAATTTGAAATACAATGAACAACAATATGTTATTAAGTGCAGTTACCTACAATGTAGTTTTATTGGCTGATGACAAATAAGGCCAAAAAAAATAATAGTTCTGCTTCCGATTACATGGCATGCTAAAATAGGGTAGGTAGGTAGGGAATTTTTTTTTTTTTGCAAATTTTTTTTGTGTACAATCATACGGAGGCATCTGCGTGTAGTCAAGTGTAAAACTTAGACATTGATAGTTTTGGGTGTTTTTTTCTCATTTTGCCCATAATAAAATTAGGGTAGGGGCTCTCAGAATAGGGTGGTACGTAGGGAAACCGGAAGCAGAACTATTTTTTTTTGTGGCCTAACCCCCCACTCAAATCTGTATCACTGTTGGTCAATTGAAAATAAGCAGGCTGAGGGTGATATTCATGAATATTCATTCCTCATCCCCCACTCAACCAATCGGTATCCTTCAACTTTTCAAGGTGTAGAAATTGGGCTGTCAACCATCAACGTGTAGCTGAAGTTCTCCGTGTATAAACCATCGTAAGTTTTCACTTGGTCATTCATTTATTCAAGCTCGGATGAACCAGTCTTTACTTTTCTACTCTTGAACATTTGAGTTGGAAACATTTATCAGGCTGTAGTGGGGATAAAACAGTCTGGCCTTGAGGCCTTCTATATCAATATTTATTTTTGATGTCCCGGCTTGAGCCCCAAGGCACATGTGTGTACTCATGAACCTCTATCAGCTGGTAACGCCACAACAGTGTATTATAATAACTCTACCAGATGGTGTGATATTCAGCAGCAGACTTCTGTGCTCTGTGGTATAACACAATAATGAACTACATCCATAATGGGCAACAAGTGTGTGCCGCGTTGCGTGAACACAAAGACATGTAAGCCAGCCGTGTAAGCCGTGGACTGAAATCAAAGTAAGATGTGGCTGACCACTTGTTGAGCAGCAATGTATAACAGCGACGAGGAAAGTTATGTGCAGAGTGGGGATGGGTATGTGCTGGTTCCAACTCCTAGTGAAGGGGATGAAGCTGAAAAGGTAGGCACTGGAATTGTTGTATTGGCTGACACTTGTTTGCTCATTCATTATGAACAGGTGCATCTGTGATAGTCAGTTCAAATATAGCGTGAAAAGGCTGAAGCAGTCTACTACTCTGTATTTTTATGCTGGGGTTGATAATCTTCTGTAAATTAACCCATAATTGATTTTTTTGTTTAAGCAGATCTGTATATGTATTGTATAGAATAGTGTCAGGGTGTTTTGTTGTGGTTAATAGCAGGTCTTTGTGCAGTATATTTGATTTTTAGTATTGAATTTATTTAGTACAACTTGCAATGATAAAAATTGGGAAGTGAGATTTTAACTCAACTGCCTAAAAATAACTGAAGATTTGAAATGGAATCGACATCACATTTGTTAATATTATTTCAAAACAGAAAAATTAATCAAATCTTCAATGGAAAATAAGTAATATAATTACTAATAAATTTATTAGTGATAAATGAATGAAATGTTGAATACAGTGAAAACTATCAAAGAATTAAATGAAAATTGTGACAAATGAGATTTATTGGCATGAGTTTGTTGGAATGAGATATTTTAATACAAGTTAATCTGGCAACTGAAGTTTCTCCCTTCTGAGGTTAAAAATACTTGCATTTTTTTTTCCTTTCCAAAAACAATAATAACTATAAAAGCCCTCATGACAAATTAAGACTTAAGGAATAATACAGTTTTTCTTTGTAAACATCACCTTGTTTATTATGAGCAGGATAAATTGTCTAAACCTGAGAATGTTCATCTTCCTAAAAATAACTAGTTTGTTTGTTCTGTTTGTTTGTTTATTTTCCATTTGCACGACTTAATATTATGCTATGCAACAATTAATTAATACAATATCTCAACTTAATAGAATGTTAATGCAACAATTTGATTAATTAAACATAAATGGTGACGTAGGGGGCACCATAGGAAGAAGCCTAAGCTTATACAGAGCTTACTTTCATACAAGGCATCAAGAAATAATGTAATTAGTCTTGTTAAAGCTATAGTCCATCATTTGCAGCCATCCGAAAAGTAATTGGCATAATTATTGTTGAAAAACAAACTTGGTTGAAAGATAGTAAGGGAACTAAACTCCCTGTGATATTATTCTTTCTGGGAAGTTGTCATTTGAAGTAATCAACGAAAGAAGGCCTTTCCAACGGTGCGTCTTAAGACGCACCGTAGGAAAATTTAAATTAGTAGTTCGTTTTGTTATTCGGCGAAGCACGCACAAGCATTGGCACGACGCATATGGGCGCGCGGTTGCTATAATTCGTCGGATCAGTGCGCGACGTCGCGTATAGCTGCAATTCAAAACAATTCAAAACATGAATGCTGAATTACCCGATCATAACTTTTGATTTGAAATTGAGATCCTAGAATGCTGTTTTTCTCGGAATATACAGCTGAAGCTTAGCTGAAACTTCATCAGGTTAGTTGTTCAGTATCCCTCATTAGATTTTGAACACTTTTGTTGCTTCAAACGAACAAAATGCACAAATTACAAATGATGGACTATATCTTTAAACAGTTAGCTTATTTGTATAGACCCACTTTGGTCGTATACAATGAACAACAAATTGCAGGTTGACCCATGAGGCCCTGTTTGTGAATGAACCTGTTGTTGTGAATAATTGGTGTCAGAACCTTGAACTGTAACGGCCAGCAGGCCCACTGCAGATTGACCCTTGGTCCACAGTGATTCATGAATATCAAGGTTTATTGTCACTGGTCAGTGGCAGTAAAAGATCTCAAAGCTGTCAACCATTCAGTTCCAATGGTCTGTGATTACCAGTGTTTCTAGGGGGAGGGCATTTACAGGATAATATAAATTCTTGTTAGTATAGGGATGGGAGCTGGTCCTAATAATAGGCCATTCCTATCTCGTTCAGGATTCAAACATTGTGAACAAAGGCATTATAGGCACAATTGCAGAATATCCTGCAGAATAGTATAGTTGCTCCAATTAACCATCATGTGTTCTTCACCTCTATAGCTCCTCAGAACCACTCCAGGATACAAGGGTTTGACTTAGACTCTTTTTTTTCCAGAACACCCCATTCAATCTTTGTGTTTCAGAGGATTCTTTCTCTGAAGGAAAGTAATATCTAAAGAAAATCCCCTTTGACTGCAAATCTGCAAAGCCACACTGGGGTACTATAGGGGTGGACTCAAGCAGTCCCATTCATTCTGACCTTCTTGAATCATCAAGTGATGGGCTCCCAGCATCTTGGAATTCATTTACAACCTGGTCGATTTTGAAGAAATAATCTAAGGGATGTGCCTCAAAACTCAACCTGTAGATTGCACTCTGCACTGTTCCCATTTTTCTTTCTTTTGAGGAACGCTCTAATTGGGTGCATGTGCAAGAAACTGTCAACAACCCTCATGTCTCATTATGATCTCTAGAGGGCCAGTGTGCACATGTACAGGAACCAATCAAACTGTAACACTAAATATATTTCCAATCAAATCTCCCCCTCATGATAACCGTGACCACTGTAATGGCATGACCTACTTGTATGACAATGTGGTCCAACTGAACTTTGAGCTCAAAACAGAAAAACAACTCGATGATTACATCTGTTAGCTTTCTGCAGGACACAACATGTGTAGTAATTAGTCGATAGTCACTCTGGACATGCGTTGTGATGTGGAAATTCTTTACATGTAGGACGGTTTCTTAATACCAGTACATGTATGTGGATCGTGGAACTTATCTAGGATTAGTATGGAGAGACTGTCTCCTTCTGTAATATTTGTGGCCAATCATCTGAATGATACAACAACAGGTGGATAATATTACAATAACAGGTGGACGTACTTCAGGTGGTTTTTTGGATTAAGTCCAAGCGTGGATTAATTTTAAGCATGGATTATGCATTGTATGATTATGCACAGATCATGAATATATAATCTGTTTGTGGATTACATCTGATCCTCTGCAGATGATCTGATGTTGGATGCAACATATGCATGTAACTCTGATGTTAATTAGTGCATGTCAGAACATCTGAGGATATTGCTTAACATCAATCACAAACACTTTTCTGCAGACATGAATAGCTGATGCATCACAGTCTTGTCTATTTCTAGTGAAGATTGTCACGGTGCAAACTTCGGACAGTTGTGATGACTGTTTCCAGGATCTGTTGTTACGATGACGTCTGAAAATCTTAATCATCTCCTGGCCAGGTTGACTGAAGACGTCATTCTGAATGCTTTGTGCATACTAACCCAGATCAGTTCCGAGACAAAGTTGAGCTCATATTGAATGCATCCTGTGAGCTGTGTGCGGCGAACAGTGCAGATACTTACTGCTCGCGGTATGCGCGGACACGTGGAACATCCTGTTCAGTTTTGGTGCTGAAGACTTCAGGTTGCATTAGCGTTTCCTTACTGAAGCTACATTTGCTGTCTGCCGTCTGCTCTGTTTTTAACTTTCATATCTTGCTAATAGTGGCATCCATCCAACATGGCAACATTCAAATGTGGTGGAGTTCTATGATGAAAACACCAATGTGATGGAAGCTTTCAACGGTTTTGAGCCAAATTTCCACCTGTGCCTTCAACTTTTTACTTCATATTTTATATTCCTATCAACAACTTCTGAAATCTAAGTCAAGGAGTCATTGTTAAGGAGGATAAATCTTTGAATAATTTTAGTGCAGTTTTTTCCCCGATGGTGCATAACAATTATGGAAGAGAATGGAAGTATATAAACTTTTGTTTTGATCCGAGGAACGAGATGAAGTCATAAATTGTCATCATGAGGAGATGCACAGATCCTCTGATAAGGCACTTTGAGGTAAGTGTTTGTAACCGTCTTGGATAGACATTAATGTTGATGTCACACTTAATGTTATAGAAATTTATTAACTACAAGCTGAATTACCCAATCATAGATCGGGTAGGGCGTATTTTGTTGGAGTTGAAAATGTGGGGAGTTAAATGTAAATGGGGGATTGAGTTGACAAGACATGCAGTTATAGAAAAGTAATTTCTGTGGTGCGATCTGATGCAATTTCTGAGTTCTGACCACTATCCGCTCCGTTCACAAGTACCCCCTCACCGGCAAAGAGAGTACAGTTGGGGGTGACCGGCCGACCAACACCATCTTGCCTGACTGTAATTCATTTGTCGCGAAGCGCGGCCACTGCTGTGTACACAGTACAAATCCCCTGGTGTACGTGCGTCACACACAAGGAACGGTGCACGTCAACCGTCCTTTCAGGAGCAAACATTTCTCGGAGGCTGAGTAAAACTTGCTCTTATATGTATAGATATTACCAACTGGAGTAACCTTAAATATACGGGCCCTTTAAGTTTTACAAAATTTCTGTGATCAAGATAAGTTGCAATCCATCTGTTTTGTCTCAATTTTCTTGTAAGATAGTTTTACTAATTCTTTTAATATAATGGTTGTCTTTTTCCCGTCACTTTGGTTGCATTTTTAACTCTTGTCTGCTGTATAAGGTTGGTCATTTTTATACATCATGTTTGGATTTTTGACATGTAAATTAATTTGCTTCTGGTAATTAGTTTTTGGCGGGTCCTATTTTCTCATACTTGATGACTTTTAAAATTAATGTGACTTTATGTGAGTGTGTACTTTTTAATGTTGATTGCTTGTTAAAGTTTGTCAATGTTTATTGTCTTTTATGTATACTGGGACCCATGGGAGACCAGTGGATTCCGCTGAATAGGCCACCCAGTTGAAATTAAGAGAGAAATAATATACAAGTAGATCTTTGTTATTTATTTTATTTGAAGTAAGCTTCAAGCTGTCAATCTCAGTAGTAGGCCTAATAAATCACAAAGAATTTCCAAAAAAAATTTGTGAACTGATATTAGATCAAAAGTTTTAAAAGATTTGAAGTGATTGAAAGTGGACTGAATTTTCAGGTGGGAGTGACAAGGGCCATCGCTAGAGGGGGTGTGTGGGATGACACCCCCACCCCCCATTCAAAGTTTCTGTCGGCAAATCCATAATTGTTGTTGGCAAATTTATAAAATTGAGGGCCTTTTATATATTATTTTACTGTTGTTGGCAAAGTCTGAGGACTTTTTTTTCTGCTTGTCAAATATTTTGTCGCAAGTTTGTTGGCAAATTATACTTTTCATACCTCCCATAAATTTTTCTGTCGGCAAATTTGTAAATATGAGGACTTTTTAGGGGTCAGATGTTTGTACTGCAAACTTGTCTGCAAATTTGGTCTGACACCCCGCCCCCTTCCCCCATTGGAAATGTTCTAGCGACGTCCCTGGGAGTGAATTGGAAAGAATCATCAAATGCATAGTTTATTGTGGTTATAAATGGAAGAGTCATTATTAATCTTTTGGGCAATTCCACAGTTACTCACGTTACATTTTTGATGTTCTCTTGAGTTTCCTTGGACTGTAATTGCCTTACTGAAAAGGTTTAATAACTGTTATCCCTATGGTAGATAGAGTAGACCTAGATCTACCTAAACACCAAAGATGACATCCAGAAAAGTGTGTTATGTATGATGAACAAGGCGCACAAAATCGGTTACTCATGTTACGAAAATGTAACGTGAGTAATGGTGGAATTGCCCTTTTAGAGAACCTCCAGAGTACAGATCAGACAAAAAAGTAAAATCTGACATTTACAATTTTGTCTTGCACATGAAAATAACTTGGGGTGGAAGTCATGTGCCCATGTGTCTCGGCGAATGCTGAGTCATCTGGGGGTTTTTTAGCTGAGGGAACCAGTGAATGTCATAAAAAAGGAGACGGAGGAAATGCTCATGATTTCCGGCCAGGAAATGTTTAAACATAAAATGTCAGCTTGCACGTCACCTCAATCAGAATGTACGTCACCTCAATCAATGCTTAGCGAGTTTAACATACAGTGCCCTTTGTCATCATGTTTTGTATATATTTTTGGCGAAAACCCTTTTCTTTTTTTTCGCGATTGGCTGTTTATTTTGACGTCACATGGAATGCGTACAGTGATACCTATTGTCTGACAATGAACATGAATTCGGTTTTGAACAGCGCCCCCATATAAAGATGGTTTCCAGCCCCCCCCCCCCTCCAGCCCCCCCCCCCCCCACCTTCTATTTGATTTTACCCCCCCCCCCTTCTTTTTTATTTTAAGGACGCGGTGTCGAGTGAAAAAAAGTGTCTACCTTTGAGCACGGATGAAATTGGGCGCTCTTCCACTGTAACATCCAGCACCCCCCCCCCCACTCCCCTCCCCCCCTCAAAGAATGAGAACCCTGGTTATGCCGCTGTTTTGAGCACAACCATTTTCATTAAACTTTTCCCAAGAGATAAACACCATTTAGTCCAGTGAAGAACATGATACACTTATTTCATAAAAAAGCAGTCTACACTTTGTAAACTGGCATTGTAGGAATTCATCTTTCATTTATGCTGAGTCCCCTGACATCAGTGAAGGAAGGTGACAGATGGGAGGGGGAGGGGGAGGGGAGGGGAGGGGAAGGGGAGGGGAGGGGAACATTGCTCTTCCGCAGTTCCCGGCTGTGATTGAAGCCATGCAGGAAGGACATGTCAATTTAAGGTGCGAAACACATAACAACTAAATCCATTCAGGAAAACCTACCTGATCAAACTGAGGATTGATAAATTGAATCCATTCATGGTATCTCGTGAGATTCAAACAGAGGTCACTTGACTTGGAAGACAAGGAAGGTACAATTACCTCCTGAGTGATGGACTCAAGAAGGACAAAAAATGACAGCTGGGGGTGTATTTGCTGGACCCAAAGTGCTACTAAATTTTCTTCTGAGTGACTGAATGACTGACTACCTAACTGAGTCACTGAGTTTAAATAATATCAAAAACAGGATTCGTTTTTGGTCCAGCTTCATTAGGCAATCCTCATGAATCTACAATCCTGGCCAAAATGGTTGGGACACTTGGAAATAACCTTAGCCTCCAACGGTCACCGACTCCGCCGCTCCCCTGGTCAATGTTGTTCTCTTCAGCAGATGAGAACTACCTAATTGAGTCACTGAGTTTAAATAATATCAAAAACAGGATTTGTTTTTGGTCCAGTTGTATTAGGCAAGCCTCATGAATCTACAATCCTTGACCAAAATGGTTGGGACACTTGGAAATAACCTTAGCCTCCAACGGTCACCGACTCCCCCGCTCCCCCGGTCAATGTTGTTCTCTTCAGCGGATGGAGCACACACCGCGCAATGAGAGACAACATTGAACGGGGGCTGGGGGGTTGGGGGCCCAGCGAGATTTGGCCAGGATTGTAGTTTCATCTGTAGTTCGTGTGATTTCTGCTCAAAACAGTCGTTCATGATGAAACTTTTTAAATAATGTTTTTTATGATGTGTTGTTTAGTGTAACAAGTACATAAAGGGTGTCTCAAAAAAAAGGTAGCAGTCAACAACACTTTTTCTGAGGAAACTAAATCGCTTTTTGTAAAACAATTTACCACGAGATGGTAGAGTGTTCTTTACCCTTGACAGGATTTTTGTTCTGTTTGATTTGGACCTTTTGTTTATAAGTTACGGCAAAGCTTGTAAAGAGTGTCAAAATCAGTATGGGCCACTTTCTCCATCTTCTGGGTATTTGAATACATTTCATCAGATACCAAGTGCCCCAACGTGGAATTCAAGTAATTTCATTTAATTAGCTGTATCTCTTGACTGTGATGTCCAAGTGAGATGGGATTAAAGACCATTGTGTAGAGTATTTACTATACATATACCTTCAGACTCTATAGATAAGTTTTGCAAAAACATACTGCTATTGTTTTTTAATATTTATGGATTGACTGCTACATTTGTGTGTGTGGATACACCGTGTATATTTCATTAACAACAGACAAAATTCAATCCTAGAAAATGACTCATTGCCAACATCAGGCCTAATTGTGAACACGATGCACTTAAATTTCAGCTGTACGTACATGGATTTTGATTTATGCAGGTAGCCTGCTGTTTTTGCTGTATTTAAATGTTGATGCATTTTATTGATTAGTCGACTATGTAATGGAATGCCAAATTTATCAAATACATTATAAACACAAGGATAATATGTTAAATATATTAAATTATTATAGAGACCGTTTCTATGTGTAAAATTCCCTCCATGGTTAACTTCATTGCACATATGAATACCGCATGTATGCCTTGTGATAATTGCAGTTTTGTGAGTCAGCATCGACCGGAAACAAAGACTGTGCCAAATTTAATTGCGTGAATAAAGGCTAATGACCATGACATTTTCTCATCGCTGATTGCAAGCTAATGGTCGCATGGCTGAGGTGATAGAGATAATAGCTGAATCATTATACTACCTGTGAACAGCTGCATAATTTTGTAATTTGGTTTGTAAATTAATTAAACAACTTTACAGTGTCAATGTCAAATACCACAGAGGCTCACACTGCCACAATTCCAAACAGGATGCCTAAAGATCCCCTAATTAATCTCCCTAGGTTTGTCCCCGCTTTAATCCAGCCTTTGTTCATTCTTCCACTCCTTTCTCTTTGATCTTCACCCACATTGGTCCATCCCCATATATAATCGCTCTTTTGTGTTTCTCCTCCCAACCCTGCGTGGTTGTGAGTCCCTCACGTATGTTTCAGCCGCTCATTTAGTTTGTGTGCATGTGCACTCAAAATATGAAATACTGATAATCAGCAAACATGGATGCCTGCAGTCGCAGTTTGACCCACTAAAGTATCGGTCAACATCACGCTCGAAGTTCTTTGATACATTTTTCTTTCCACGTGGACAGGAATTTGAGGCAATCAAAGTCACTTTTGCAAACCTTAGCGCAAAAAAACAGAGAGTATTTGATGCATTTTTTTTGTTTTTCCGTGTCGTGTAGTACGAAAATTTTGGGTCACAAATTCAAAACAGGCGACAGTTTAGGGGATAATTTTTCATTTTTGCCGAGTAATTGTAAACTTGTCTTCACTGAAAAATGGTAAAGGATGCCACGGAAAGTGCGATGTATAAATATCATTTAAGTCGGAAACCGTTTCAATGAGAAAAGTAAGGTCTCACGTTATACGTTTTTTCGTTGAATGTAACGTTATTGTGCACTTACCGTACCTGTACACAGACCCTGGAATCTAGCCCGTAAACATGGCTAGCCACACGCCACGCGCCGCAGCGCTCCGTTTGTAATCTTTCGACGCGTTGGAAATGTATACATTTAACTGAAACGATTTACAACTGACTGGTTCCCGGCCCTGAAATGCAGTAAAGTACGATCATAGAGGGCACTGGGACCAGTTTGCGTGAGAAGACGAACCAAATGCACGCACGGTCTATGGGGCTGAAACATACGTGCCCTACATGTTTGTTTCTTGTACCACTGTCATTTCGCCTGTGAAGAAGATTTGGTTAAGATCGGAACATCAGGCCACCTTAATCTTTTTTGATTTGTCAAAGGTTACTGAGAACCTGAGGTCAAAGGATACTGAGAGGTCAAAGTCCGATACCTATTATTGTGCAACTTTGAACTACCTTATCTTGGGTGAAATGTTCTGAAGTTCAACAGGATGTGTGTGTTGAATTTTTGTTTGAAGTCTGACGGAACTCTCAGAAACTTTTTTAAAAACCTTCTGAGACTGTTATTACTTTTCTCTGCAGTTTAATTACTTCATACCACATAGACATTGCCTACAGGTGTAATGTAAGCACAAATTCACATGGATTGTTTTTATCTGTCAATTAACATCGGTTTAATTAGCATTTTCCCCAACTGATTGGTTGTACATATATGTCTAAACAAAATAGGTTCATGTCATAAATCATGAGTGACCTTGACGAGTTTTTTTTACTTTTCAAATATGATTTGTGTACTAAACTTTTGTTAAGATCTGCAAGATATCTCATACTATCACTATCAAAGAATATACCTAGAGGCTGAAGTAGTCAAGATAATATCCCTTTTCCAGATTCCCAATGTGCCACTCACGATGTTCCTTTCCTTTGCTTTACTTCTTTGTCTGCAGGACACGTTGGTCCTGATGAGCAATGAGAAGCCATCGAAACCAAAGGTTGATCACGACGAGATTGAGAAACTTCTTGGAGATGTCCCACTCCGACAGAACTTCTCACAGCAGCTCTACAGCAGTACAGAGTTTGATACTGAAGCTACCGGCAGTCATTATAATCGCAGGTTCAGTGAATATGACTTCCACAGTAAGTTCGTTGTCGTTGTATATTCATACCCCCCTCAAGTTTTCGCTACGCACACCCAGACTCCAGTAAAATCAAAGGACAGCAACATTGAGGCCTACAGAATCTAACAGAATTCAGTTTAAACAATTTATTTGACAAAACAATGTCATATGCTAGGAATGAAATCAAAATGAAAGGGAAATTACACTATACAGCGAAAGCTAACTGAGGCAAAAGTCTTTTATCCACCGACCAGATCAACAAGATCCAGTAGAGATTGCATTCTTTTAGATATTGTTGCCGTAACAGTTTAGGGAATAAGGTTAATGATATTCTTTCATTCAAAAAGGTTTTCACAAGATTTACCCAAGTCTTATACCGCTGTTATTACCAGTTGATAATCGCACACCTTGGAGTCTCCCGGGTCTCCCCAGTGAGTATTAATATGTTCAGACATGACCCATAGATTTTCGAAGATAAACAACAATGAATAAACGAAGACAAAAAGACAGTATGTGAAATTTAAGATTCCCTTGCAAGAATTTAAAAAAAGAGAATGACCACACTGTCAGTTCACTTTGAAAGTGGCGTCCACAAGACTAAAAATAAATTACAAAAATCAGCTAGTAATCCTTAGGGGATTTCCATTTGTAAGTGTGCTCTTGGCTGTAATTAACCTCACACTCTGCTTATATAAAATATTTTCCCCTGGGTATAGAGAGTAGAAATTACAGTCAGGCATGTCTAACCCAAAGTTCAGTGATCTCCATCTGGTTTCGAAATCACAAAATTTCATCCTTGTCGCATTGTATTAATTTTTAAAACAAAATGAACAAAACTGCTGCAAACTGCTTTCTGAAAGGATTGACCTGAAATATACAAATCAAAAATTTAGGGGGCCCAACGATGTCTCGATTCCTAGTCAGATATTTTGGTATTACATTGTAATTTTGTATACCCGGTATCTGTTTATAAGAAAATGTTGGTGAAATGTCAAACTGGCCAATACATTTGTAAATTGCCAAGAGTCAAACTCCAGATATTGAAAATATCCAAATTTGTAGGTGTTTTGTTTTGATTTTTTAGAGGCTGAATCTTTTGAATATTAGTTTTAATGTATCTACATATGGATCCTTTTTATTGTAGCCATCTTTGAGATGCACGATGCCTTTTTTTCACAGGGATACACATAAAAAAGAAATTAGACGTACGTTCATCGTTACTGAATTACAGTAATGTAAAACATCTCAATGATTGCCGCTGATTGCAAAGGGTCTATCTTACACTTACAAGAATATCCAATAACGTCACAACCAAGTAAATAGGCCAAAAGCATGTCTGCCGAGCTCATGAATAATTGTTAGACATTCAAATTATTCTATATTAGAGAGTTCTGTGAGCCTTGGAATTGGGGGATTGAAGACATATACATTTTTTATGGCACTGCACCTCTGGCCTGGACTTGGGGCTTCCAATTCTGAGCATTTCTGATGCAATTGGGTCCAAAAGTGGCGCTGGCAGATTGTGGAGAGATCCTTTTCCAAAATGGCTACTTTTCCAGTTTGGGAAATATCATGTGTTTTTAATAGGGGTGGTCTTCTTTGGGTGTGAATTACTCCAAAACGTCATTGGTCAACTCACCAAAAATTGAAAGGAAAATGAAAGACGACATGTTGATCATCATTTTTCTGTGCAGCCTGAACACCTGTGAGAGTTCCGAGTATTTGAAAAAGATTTTTGAAGTATGGGGCTCTATCACTGGTGTCTATGGACATTTATTTACCTGTTTGCACCCTTACAGAAATAACCTACACCCAGTTGAGATCTTTGTTGAATTCAACCATCCTCAGGCATGAGATTTTTCAGACTTTTTGTCTGAAATCAGACATTATTAGTATAGAAGGATATGCATTGTTCAGACATTTCATCAATTTTCAGACTTTTTTTTTTTAAAATTGACAAATCTCATCCCTGTACCCTATAATAGGCTTTCAGACTATACTTGATCAAATCATGATCAAAGGTACACACACTCTCAGCAACCATCACCCCTGTGTCATCCCGAGGCGATCTCGTCATTCAAAATTCGTTCGGTTCTGTCTGACTAATGACCCATTTAGCTCAACCATTAGAGTCCTGATCAACAGCCTACAGCCATCGCACACTTATCTTTACCTCGGCCTTCCACGCTGACATCACACTGGGAAATGGAGCAATTGCCTGCGATGGATGGACGAAGTCCATTTGTCAGATTTTCAGAAAGACAATCACAAGCCATTATGATGATGCATGCTTAAGATCAGTTGAACAGTTAATGGGTACTACATTATTATGTATTTTTTAAATTTATTTTAGCCGCCTAATGGAAGTGACAAAAAAATAACATTTACACAATGCTTAAACTACCTGTTATCAAGAAAAAGTTTGACAGATTGTCCTGTCAAGTGTAAAAATTATATCCATCTGAAGATTTTAAAAGCTTTACAATGACCATCTGTCATTATCAAATTATTGTAAATATTTTTGGGAGCATTACAGGACCTTGTCAATTTAGCCTCTTTTCTTTACATGCCTTGGTTATAATAATAGTGTGTATGGGCTCCGTGCCAGTGGTGTAAATCTGTGCCAGCGAGTTGGGGGATGGGGGATGACCAAAATCCAAAAATTGCCTGGCTGTGGAAATTCGAAAGGGGGGGGGGGGGGGGAGAACACCACATTACACTAGGGGGCGCTCTTCAGGATAGAGATGTATATCAATATGTATACTCACGCTTACATCAAAACGGCGCGTTTTGAAAGCTTTTGTATACTGTTTCTCCACTTTTCAGTCCTATTGAATACATTTTGATTGTTGGGATGTTCGAAAAATACCTTGAAATCCGCATTTTTTTTATCATCACAAAAAAGTGTGTTCGAATGTTTCTCCCAGTGGTCTCCCCAAACTCTCCCTTTCTTGCCGTTGAGGGGGTACTTGTGCGCAGAGCCCATATAGCATTTTTTTGCTAATGTCTGAGACCTTCACAGTTATCCTTTTATTATCATATTTTTAGATCTTTCTTTCTGAATCTATGAATCCTCAGATTTAATATTTCTTTACAAAGTTCTTCCGTATCAAATTCCACAATCCAGTCAAAATTGCAGTTTTGGCAAGATTCAGTTCAACTCCGAGGCAAGCCACACATTTTATTAGATGAGCATAAACCTGATTTTGATAGAGTGTATGAATGTTTGCTGCCAACAGGCCACAGAGCAGCGCCCTCCCTGAGTCACCGAACTCACTTCAGAAAATCCTTACGAGACCCAAGTCGAGACAAGGGTCTACAATGGAAGCGATCGGTCACAATCCACGGAGTGCCAAAAAACTCAAGGAGATATTCCGCCGGAAAAGGTGTGACAGAAAACGGAGGGAGCGGTTCGGTACAAGTTTTGACGAAGTCAAGAACTGCCGAAGAACCGTTGACTCTGATCGAGGAAGGGGATCATACGGACAATCACACCGGACACCAGGATGAGTGTCCTCAGGAGGGCGACGATGAGGCAGGCATTGTCTTAAAGAAAAGAGTTGGGGAAAAAGTTGCAAGTGAAGCAGATGATGAACATGAGGAGGATGGTGATGAGGATGCTGTAAGAAAACGAGACAGTAAACTGCTGGAGTTAAGGATCAAAGAAGACGATGATTCTAGTCATCATGAAGAGGAAGAAGAGCGCGAAGAAACAGAGGAAAGAATAAAGGTGAGAAATGAACCAAGGCATACAGCTCTAGCTTTCGTTTAAAGAGGTTTTCGAATCCTTTTCTTTGTCTCAAGCTTGTGGAGACTTCAGCCATTAACATTGGGGACTCTGGCCCCATATGGGGCCATGTTCTGCAAGAAGGAACCTCAAATCTTATAGCGTGGGCCAAAGATTGCAGAATTTTCATTTAATTTGCATATTAATTTAGGGCTTATAAATTATTTTTTATGTCATTTTAAAACTTGGAATCTTAACTTTATCCGTGGTTAGTATTTGGTTTGATTTTCAAAAGGTTTTTGTAATTATTCGTGTTCAAATAAAGGCATGTCAAAAACAAACGCAACCGATTTCAAGGAAAATCAATCGTGCGCATTTTTTCTAATGTAGAAATGGTTCATCATGTTCATGATGTGACGATCTCATTGCCTTTTACTTTCTGTGCTTCCTATTCCTTTCGATCCACTTAGACTGCGACTTAAATAAATTCACAATATTGTTCTCCATTTCAAGTTTGTTTTGAGTCTCTTTTGAAATTCAAGTGCAAGTATTTGTACATTGTACTTATTCAAAAAGTGCGCTCAAAGTGTTACTCACGTTTGCATCTGATGTACAATGTACCACATCATCAATTTTCATTGAAAACAGATGAGTTTGTTTTTGACATCCCTTTATTTGAGCACAAATAATTTAAAAAACTCTTAAATATCGAACAAATACTCGTCAGGGATAAACTTCAGATTCCAAGCTTTAAAACTGTACAAAAGTAGTGGCGGAACGTGTTTCGGGCCGACGCTAGAGTCTCTCAAAATAAGGTTTCGGATATTTTGGGATGCGCTGTGATGCATGAAGACACTCTACTTCAATATTAATGGTGAATGTCTCATACAGTAGTATGCATGTGTAATGATGTCTTTATACATGAAGTTGTTGGAAAATCCATGAATAATTTGATATCATCTTACAGATTACCTAGACTACATAACCACTCAGAAGCTGATGAGTGTTGCAAGATTTATGGAAGGTTGCATCATGTTTCATGGAAAGATGGGGATGATGATGATGATGATGATGATGATGATGATGATGATGATGATGATGATGATGATGAGTCTTCTGTTGAATATAAATTGGATGTATTCTCTCAACTTCCATTTTTCCTAGATTATCATTGAGGAAAAGATTTTTTTCCAAAACTGGAAAACATTGTTTCTTTCATAAGTTCAGTCTAATTGGAGTAGAGCTAAGTTATTGATTTTTAATTTACTTTATATCATTTTCAAGCTCTGTAAGAATATTGTTCAATTTTAAGGAATAACCCAATGAATTTCTTGTATGCTGGATTTTTCCCTTTTTCATCTTGCTTCAATTTATTTTCACTATGACCAAGCAGGGTTTCCTATAAAAAAAAATGATCAGGCTTTTTTTAAACTCCGTCATTTTCAATTATAAATTTTCAGAGGTTGTCACCAGTATTCACACCTAATGCAAGCTACAGACATCCAAAAAGGTAGGTCAAGTTTGTGACATTGAGGACAGATGTAGGTCAGAAAGTTGACCCCTTATTTTTTTTGTTTTCCTCAGATAGATGTAGGTCAGAAAGTTGACACCTTATTTTGCCGTTTTCCTCAAATAGCATGCAATAAGTCACTTCCTTAATTACATCTGGAGAATGACCACTAAATGTCACTTGTTTTTATTTATCGAAACTTCTTGAGGACACTGAAGAAAAACAGGAAAATGTTTAAATTTATCAAGTTTTTTTACTCGGTAATAATCAATGTATTGGATTGAAATGGTGCCCACTACTGCAAACTGGTATATCAGCTTGGTGGCTCCATGCATTATTTTTAAGTTCATCTAATTAAGGCAATTAATTCTGTAGTAAAAGAGTTCAGTACTCTGAAGCTACCAAAATTCAAAAGAAAAGTTGATCATACATACAGGTTGACTTTTAACTTTACAATTTGTGTACATGTCCACGGAATAGGAGCTTATAGTACCTTTTTTACTAATTTGCTGTTTTTGATTTTGTTTTCCCTACTTGAAGGTCTTCCAGTCATAGACATAAGCCATCAAGACTCCACGATCTGCCTCTCCATGCTGAAACCAGACAAGATGAGGGTTTCCCTGACAAGGGACCGGTATCGCCCCAGCAACTCTCGGAGGTCACCGACCTGGAGGAGGCGTCCAGTCTGGACCAGCATGCATTGCAGCGCATCGCAAGTGAGTATGTCCGTGTTCAGGTCATTAAACCCTCCATCAATTTCATGTTGGTCGAGAACGACGCAGAAGAAAACAAAAACAAAGAGGAAGACCGGAGTGATTGGAAACCTGAGAATCAGAAGGATTTTCGGAAGAGGAGGGATAGACCTCGTCTGAGCTTTCATGTCGATCCCACGGATGATGAATATGTGCCAAATCCCGGTGATAAAAAGCGCTCAGTGAGTCTCTTGCAGGTGCCAGGCAACGGGAGTAACGCCGTACCCAAGGAGTCGCATCAGCGTGAATGGCTATCCCGTCATATCAAGGGTAAAGATGAAAACGCTGAAGTTCTGTTTGGGAATGTGAATGCTGAGAGATTCTTAGCATTGCTTGATCCTGGATGCTGCATGCATGGGAAAAATTCAGATTGCAAATGTTGATATGCGATAGGCATCCTCATGCACTCTTGAATATGAGAATGGGTCCAGATTTAGCTTGACTACAATACGCCCTAAACAGTCCATTTTCTCATCATATGTTTTTGTTGCTTTCCGTCCTCTTATTTTATATTCCATCATTTCTCTAAGGCATGTTTGCTCATCTGTTTCCTGCCTCTGCATAAGCCTTTTTTTTCAAAACCGAATGTTTGGATTATGCAGCCATTCCCTCCCCAGCAGGGTCAGCAGGAGAAATCATATCCAGTCTGAGAACCTCGGCAGTACAATCCAAGAAATTCTGAACATATACCTCATGTTTGCTAGCTGTATTCTTTCCAATGTGTATGCTCTTGCTTATGAGGTATGGTCAGATTTTCTCAAGTCCGAGTGTTAAAATTCCTGTGACTAGATTTGATATATCTTGTTGTTTGTATCCCTTTGCCGCGGAGGTGGTTTGGCTGCACTTTCAATGAGTCAGCTGCATTAGGCAGAGGATAATTAACACAGTCTTGGGTGGAGACTGCTCCTGAATGTTACTCCTAGCCTGTACAAATCATGCAAAAGAAAACTTGAAGAGGTTGTTTCCAAAATGCGATTAAAGGGAAAATACAACATTTGCAAACATCAAAAAATAAAACTACCAAATCATTTTGAAATAGCTTGCTGGACTGTTAGTGAATGACAGTGTAAAGCATCCTGTAAAATCATGGCACCTGGTATACTGTCATTTTCAAGAAAAGTGGTATTTTTGTATCAATTTCCAACGCTGATCGGCCGACCAGCGTTGGAAAAAAACTGGCTTTTTTTCAAATACTGGCCCCAGTTGACCATCGCACTTGTTTGCAATCGATTACACACCTATGAACGGGTACAAGCCAGCTAGACTGGTTCCCTGACCTTACAATTCCCCAATGTATGTAAACTGCTCTGTTTCTTCTTAAATGGAGTCAGGGAACCAGACTACAGGAAAATGATTGTTTTTCTTGGTTTTTATATTATTTTCGAACCCAAAACCTCAAAAAATCAGTGTAACTATATTTGCTATATATTTCCAACCCCCAATTCCATCCATTTCTGAAAATAACAGCAAAAGCAAATGATGTATATTCCCTTTAAAACCTTTCATCACCTGTTGGAACTCTTCCCTTGTCTCCACGGGTATACCCACAAAACACCATCCTTTTAGTAAATCAGTGCGTTAAAAATTCTGAATGAGCTGTATAACAGTGGATCAAATAATTAGGCCAATTTTTTTACAGCCATCTCTTGAAATTGTTCTAACATCAGTTGTTGCAACCATTTAAAAGTTGTTGTAGAATAATTGCAACCCAATTAGGAGCTCAAAAGGTCTCTGCCCAGTCACGTACAAAGGTTAAACTTCAAGATTGCTTACAAATAGATAATGGTTTATTATAGGTCAATCATTAGATAATTTGTACATATTTTTTTAGCTGTCATGCTGATCAACTGATTGAAGTAAAGTTTATAGCAAAGATCCCTGCATGTTGAGAAACTATGAACATACGCATTTCACTGATTATTTGATAAGAACAAGTATTTGCTTTTTGTGGTTGCATATCTAGTGCTCTCTTTTTTCTGCAAACATTTCAGAACTTTAAACTAATATCTTGGCAGCAATGCTCCAATTGTGTCCAAACAGGGTTCTGTACATTAGTATTGTAGCTACGTGAATACTTTAACATGTTGAGAATATTTATATTTCACTAACGGAATGCTATGTCAGATAGTTTTAGTGATAGAAACGCTTGACTTTATACGTCAGATGATAGTACAATCTTTGTTGTTTTGCAGTGTTGTCTTGTTGTTGTTGTTTTGTCATTTCATTTGTGTGTCTGTCAGTTATCATGATGATTATGAATAATACCGTCATGGATATCTTGTTTAATTCTAGACCAAGGAAAAACCACAAATACAGCCAGTTGGTGGGTCTCGTGAACTATCAACCACGTTTAAACAAAGCAATAGACACACCCACAAATAGATTTCGGATCCAGACTTGAGACAGGCAAGCTTTATGTATTAGTTTCCCATTGGCTAATGTCTGGAGACATTCAGGTCATGACTACATCAATCTTTCAACTTTTTGAAATGTCAAATCTCTTAGGAGAATTACTTGGTTTAATTGGCAAGATGCCAGTCTCAAACAGGTGTAACATGGTTTGAACGCAGAAGTTCTCAGGTATAGGAGTTACCTACTTACAACTAGGGCTGTGCATCGGACCTGGGTACCCGAGTACCCGACTGTTGATGCTAGGAACCGGTTCCAGATAATGGGATCGGGTAGCTGTAACCAAAAGTTGTAGTTTACACCGTTAAGCTATAAAGCTCACTTTACAGTGTACATGTCTTGCTGTATTGACGCACCGATGTAGAACAATCTGAACAGCAACGTCCGAGATTTGAAGTTTGGGGTTGAGTTTCTTTAACGTGTACTACCAGGGTACTCATTTTTTTTTCAATCAGATACCGGGTTCCTGTACTACCCGTAAATGCACACCCCTACTTACAACACTGATAATAACCAAGTTAAGAATAGACAGACTATGGAGGGTATGCAGAATACTCAATATGACCCCAGAAAAGGTCACTTTGGAACATCTAGGCTATCTGGCAGTCATATTGAAGATGACTGATAGCGTTGCACTTGTGTATGATTCTAAGAAATTGACACGTGTCAGATGACTATACATGTAACCGATGACGATGTGTGACCAGCAACACAAGAGGTGAAAAGCTGTGAAATTTTGCACTGTTGGCACATGCAAGCTCTTGAGCTCTGGTGTGTGTCAAAGGGAAATCTGTCACAGAGCAGCATATAAGGAACAGGACAAGAAAATTATGACAGCTTGTTTGTACTCTTACAAAGGTTATTTAATTGAGAATGATGAACTGACATTGATGACAGCTATAGGTGTCCAGAAACATGTTGTGGTGATCCTATCTTGTGCTGTGTGGAATATTATAAGTGTCTCAAATTATACAGGGTGGTTTGCTGGCTAGTTTTTTGGCCAGTAGATAATGGCTAGTTAGCTAATAAGTTAGCAAACAGGTTGGACTAATCATCTCATTAGTTGACGTGAATGCTACCTGGCTGTTAAGTCAGGTGGTTGGCTAGTCAGCTGGTTAGTTAGTGAGCAGGTCTTAAAAATTGGCTGCTGGTTGGATGGCCAGTGGGCAGGTCAGTTAGCTTGCTAGCAGAACTAACTACTCGGCTGTTAGTTTGTTAGCCAATTGTGCAGCCAGTTGGCTAGTTAGCTGGCCAAGAGGCCTTATTAGTTAAGGTCCTATGTCCCTGATTGACTGGCTAGTTAGCTAGTTAGCCAGCTAACATGCCAATGTGGTGACCAGTCAGCTATCGAGTTGGTTGCCTTTGGGTACCTTGGGGCGTGTGCTACATTGAGGTGCAGCGGTCGGGCCACATTTAGTTCTGGGCTACATTAAGTTACCGCACAGTTGTCAATCCACCCAGTAATATAAGTGGTGTTAATCAGCCAGATACAAGTATTCTACTTGCATCAGTCTGACTTATAACGGTTGTACAAATCAGGTATTTTAAACTCATTTGCAGCTTTCCTCTTTCCACTTCCCTAGCAACCCTGCCCATATATACATTGCATGCCGATCTCTGTGGTTCATGCAAAGGCAGATGAAGGATAAGGGGTCTTAATAGGGGATAACTTTCTTACTTCAGTTTCCATTGGAAAAGTGGGAAAAAATTGACACTCAAGTATGACATTTTAAGTGCTGCAGTCAAGGTACTTATGATGGATCACAAGTCCATCCATCGCAAGTCAATCACAAGTCAATCACAAGTCATCCAGTCCCAAGTCAACTTCTTATTTACGATATGTCCCCCCAAAAAGCGTCCGTCTGACTATTTTTGAAATAACTACAAAACCACGAAGTTAATTTTGAAAATGTTTGGCTGTGCAGATAGTCCTAAGCCTTGGCGTCAACCCCTACGAGTTTCATTTAATTTAAGTCACGCATTACTACACAATTATCAATTGATCACAACAAGATTTTTGGACACTGTGACCAAGTTCCTTGCCTTATTCAATTTCAGTACTGTGTTAAGTAAGCTGTGTAAAGTCCTTCATGTTGTGAAAAGGGCTGCAGTTGGGATTGGAATCATTTGCCTGGCTATCATACATCATGGCAAGACCTCAGTTTAAATGCTCAAGGGCAAATGATTCCAATCCCAAACCACATCAGCCTTTTTTTCACAACATGCAGGATTTTACACAGCTTACATAAAACAGCACTGCAATTGATTAAGGCAAGAAACTTGGCCACACTCACACTGTGTCCAAAAAAGTTGTTGTGATCAATTGACTATTGTGCAGAGATGTGTGACTGAAATTAAATGAAACTCATAGGGGTTGAGGCCAAGGCTTGGGTGTATCTGCATAACCAAACATTTTCAAAATTGACCTCATGGTTTTGTAGTTATCTAAAAAAAAAAAAAAAAAAAAAAAAAAAACAGTCAGACAGACACTTTTTTGGGGACATACTGTATTTAACTGTACTGTGAACGAGCCATTCTTTTTTTTTTTTCTTCCCCTATTACTTGTGACTGGATTTGTGACTTGACGTATGATTTACTTGTGAGCAGACTTTGTGATGTATTTATCTGATCGAACTCAAGAACCTCAACTTCATTTCTGAACATTTTATATTAGAATATCCTTCCTAGTACAAATTGGAGTACATATTCTAGAGAGAACAGGTGTAGGTATTGATCCCAGTCGTCCATTTTTTAAACCTGTCGCGCTTCCCCTCATAATGTCCTGGATTTCTCTATCCTATTTCATCATGTTTTTATTTGTTTCATTTTGCATGTCATCATTTCTCTGCTTGCCTTTCCGCTTATCTCATCGTTCATGCATCCAAACAGACGCTTCTTTGCATCGCACGGATTCCAGACCCAGGATAGGCAAGAAACATCCCAAATTGGAGGCCAATAATAGTTGTTCAGGTGAGCTGTCCAAATTCAGGGGGAAACCCATCAATTTGTGCATTGGTGACAATGGTGGGTTGTTGTTTTTTGCACCCATTTTTGTGCTTTGTTGTTTGTCCTTCATTGTGTTGAGACTTTCCATTGAAAATTGTTGCAAATTGATAATTGTGAAGGTTATGCTTTTGAATTTCTGAAATCCTTATATTACAAAAAACATTATCTTGCCATCTAAGGGTATCAATGTAGTTTGATGTTAACATAGGGGTGTTAATACATTGGTAATAAGATAAAATGATGAATTAGTAAATATAAAATCAACAGAATGAAATATCAGTTTTCCTGGCCAATTTCCTAAAATGTTCATTCACTTCTGAAAATCGGTCATTCAATTTCGTCTGAATTTGAATGCAAGTCTTTAATCCCATTTCAATTTGACGAAAGTTCAATCGTTTTCATAGTCTGTGCATTCCGTTTTGAGAAACAGACGGCCAATTACATTACCTGTGCATTCTTTTACGCAAGCATACCTTTTCTAAATTGACTTCAGGTACAGCTAATTTCATTGACGGTTAATGAAAAAGAAAACCTAAATTGTATCTGGTGCTGATGGCATTAAACTAAAAGTAAAATAGAACGGTGAATGCTTGAAATCGCCCTCTAAAAGCGAAGAAGTCTTGTAAACGAATCTGAATGGACATAAACGAAAGGAGCTGCTCAATCACTTAATTGATTGAACTGAAATGGAATTGAATGCTCTGGTAGCGAAGATGAAACGAGTGTTCAGAGCGATTCACAAATTCAGGCGTAAATGAATGACCGATTTTCAGAAGTGAATGAACATTTTAGGAAATTTGCCGGGAAAACCTATATTACAGTGTAAATTAATAAAGATGACGAAACCCCTTGATGCAGGGAACAACCAAGGAGGTACATACATGTATTTCACGTGACATCACATTTGAAAAAAAAAAAGTTGGACTATCTTGGTATCTCTGTGTTTTCGTGCAAGTTATGTTCACTGGATGCTGCATTTCATCATGCTGGGTACTGTCACATCGTGTCATATTAAGAGGAATCCAGCACAGGACCTACTATACCTGCATGTCCAAATATTGAACCATTGCATAAAGCATTTTTCCAGTTTGTTTTTGTAGTGATTGAGTGGCATTATTTTTGCTACTTTTTTTTGCATCTTCCTTCCGTTCTAGTTATTTCTGAAAGCTGAGGGGAAAAGACGAATTAGAGTTTTGATGTGATATATGTATGTGTACTTGGCTTTTACTGATGGACCTATATAGGCTCAAAAATCAAGTCTGTAGCTTTTTTTAGATTAATTCTAGGACTTTTGTTTGTTGAAAGGTGCAGTATCTTCTTAGTTGGAGAATTTCATCTACCTCTCAAAACAATTTTTTTTCCTAAATAGTCTGGATTCAAATTCCTAATGTAATCACGCTGGACAATAGTACCTAGGGACCGTTCCAAGTATTACTGCCCTGAAGACCGAAAACCCGATATGTCAATGTGATCATCTTACTACCCCTCAAATTGTTTTATTTTACTTGTCTGGATTCAAACTTTTTATTCTAGACAATGGTACCTGGGAACCATTTCCAAGTATTACTAGTGACTTTCCAACAGATTTCTTAGAATACAAATAAGACTGTTCCCATCCTACCAATCTTACCCTAATCAACCAATCAGGATCCATTTTGCACAATGGTATTTCAAAAATTACCCTAATCAACCAATCAGCTCGCATTCAGCACAATGGTATCTCAGTGTCATAGCTGGGAGACACTGAGTAGTATCTTCAGTGTACTGGAGTATGTCTTCAGGCAACTCAAAGTCAGGCAAATCGTATTATGTCAGTCATCCAATGACTTGGTTGTTCCTCTAATTCCCTCATCAACCAATCTGTATGGATGCTGTCTGTTCTCCGATGGAGAGAGCTATTTCCTGAAATCCATCAGATGCCCGTTGGGCAGGAATGATTCTGTCTGTGATTTAGAATGAAGCATAACCGGAAGGGACTGCTCAAGTGGACATTATGGAGGAGTAGGTTTGGCTATCAAGCTTTGTCCAAGCTGCTGTATCATTCGATGTCAAACCATTGTGGTTTGGTTATTGAGGTTGATCAAGTTAGTTGTAGGCTTGTTAGGTTGCATTTAAGTTTTTAGCTGTAATAGGTTATAAGATAATACTGCAATTGGTATTTCCAAGTATCTATTAAGTGTTTTGTTACCAATGACCATTCAGTCCTGTCTGCATCTCAACTTGTTTGAGAGTGTACATATGGTAAACTATATGTATACATTCTCAAAGCATTAGCATATAATGTATACATATGTATACATATGTATATGTAATGTATAACTATGTATACATTCTCAAAGCATTAGCATTAGGCACTGTGGCCTTAATTGGCTTCAACCATTCTTACAGTGAGATCAGCCTCTGGGCCCAATTTCATAGCGTTGCTTAACAGTAAGCAGAAAGGGTGTGCTTACTATAGCAGAAAATTGTGCTGACCTTAAGCACTATTTCAATGATTTTGCATGATGGAGATATCTATTGTTACGTCACAAATTTAAGCAACTCTGTCTTCTCCACTTGTTTGCTTACTGCTTATGGTCTCCATGAAATAGGCTCTAATATAGCCAAAAATTGTGCTGAGCAGTGCTCTGTAATTTGGCCCTGGCAAGGTCTGAGCTAGTTTTGCATTAAATGTACACAAAAGCAGTGTTAGTGATTTTGCCCTCTTTGTACCTGTATTATCATAGGCCTACCTCTGCAGAAGAGTGTTGGTTTTTCTTTCAAGAGTTTTTCCGAGTTAGTCTCAAATCTCAAATCGAACATCATATTAACTCTTCAAGCTGAAACATATGTGATTCATAAGTTGGCAATATGAGCATTGTTTGTTTCTGCATGCACCTGTGCATCATGATGGCAGCCAAGCATGACAAAATCCTATCTCCACCCTTGAACATGGCACTGTTTGCACTATTTCCTTCTTACTAGGGGATGAAACTTCACAAGAACATAATCCCGTCGAGAAACAAGTCGGTTTCGACAAACCCTGTGATTCATCTGACGATGAAGGTTAAATTTCCTTTTTTTTTCTACTAAGAGCTCCACAACTAACTCTTGTCACTTTGAAGTCCGCATGAATGGTTAAGTCAAAATGGCCGACAATATTAATTAGACCCTTTTCATTTTTTTCCAGTCATATATTTTGCTGCGGCACTTAAAACTGTCAATAGCGCATGACTTAATCAAAAGAGTCCTACATATTGCACAAAGTTAAATTGCACACATGTTAGGGTGTTATGTGAACAATCCATCTTCGTCGTTATTATGGATTTCTGGTACACAAGGATAACTCAAAAGCACTCACGGGCCCGGCAATGTTGCATGCAAGCCTGAATAAACCTGCAGAGAGAAGATATCCTTAAGAATAAGCCAGTTTAAAGGTAGAGTCCATCATTTGTAATTTGTGCATTTTGTTCGTTTGAAGCAACAAAAGAGTTCAAAATTTAATGAAGGATACTGAGCAACTAACCTGATGAAGTTTCAGCTAAGCTTCAGCTGTACATTCCGAGAAAAACAGCATTCTAAGATCTCAATTTCAAATCAAAAGTTGCTGAATCATGTTTTGAATTGTTTTGAATTGCAACTATACGCGACGTCGCGCACTGATCCGATGAATTATAACAACCGCGCGCGCGTGTGCGTCGTTCGAATACTTGTGCGCGCTGCGCTGAATAACAAAACGAACTACTAATTTAAATTTTCCTACGGTGCTTCTTAAGAATCACCATTGGAAATGCCTTCTTTCGTTGATTACTTCAAAATGACAGCTTCCCAGAAAGAATAATTTCACAGGGAGTTTAGTCTCCTTACTATCTTTCAACCAAGTTAGTTTTTCAACAATAATTACGCCAGTTACTTCTCGGATGGCTGCAAATGATGGACTCTACCTTTAAGGCCAAAAAAAGGACTCGGTCCCTGGTCAGCGCGCGCGTCGATTTTAATCATGTGCGTCAACCTTTTTATCTTCTTCAAATTAACACGGAAGCTACAACAGCGCCCTCTATTGCCGCACCTCCTCAAATGTTTGTACCAAGGAGCACCAAGGAATGGGGAAATTGCACCAAGGCAAATGATAAAGGGCACCAAGGCAAATTATGGAGGACATCAATGTATAATGAGGACACCAAAAAAGCAAACTAGTACCCACCTTGTCTGTACAATTCAAGCTTGAAAAAAAAAAGGAAGCCACCCCCCAAAAAAAACGCGTCGCCGCATCAATTCCGGAACTTCGGTCTGACCAGAGACCGATTATTTATTTTTTTGGCCTTAGTCTCAAATCTCAAATCGAACATCATATTAACTCTTCAAGCTGAAACATATGTGATTCATAAGTTGGCAATATGAGCATTGTTTGTTTCTGCATGCACCTGTGCATCATGATGGCAGCCAAGCATGACAAAATCCTGTCTCCACCCTTGAGATGGCACTGTTTGCACTATTTCCTTCTTACTAGGGGATGAAACTTCACAAGAACATAATCCCGTTGAAAAACAAGTCGGTTTCGACAAACCCTGTGATTCATCCGACGATGAAGGTTAAATTTTCTTTTTTTCTACTAATAAGAGCTCCACAACTAACTCTTGTCACTTTGAAGTCTGCATGAATGGTTAAGTCAAAATGGCCGACAATATTAATTAGACCCTTTTCATTTTTTTCCAGTCATATATTTTGCTGCGGCACTTAAAACTGTCAGTAGTGCATGACTTAAACAAAATAGTCCTACATGGTGCACAAATTAGGGTGTTATGTGAACAATCCATCTTCGTCGTTATTATGGATTTCTGGTACACAAGGATAACTCAAAAGCACTCACGGGCCCGGCAGTGTTGCATGCAAGCCTGAATAAACCTGCAGAGAGAAGATATCCTTAAGAATAAGCCAGTTCAACTGCGCATGCGCGCAATGATCTGGATCACGGGTCATTCGGGATAATCAAGCACTCATCGAAGGTGCATGAACAATCAAGGAGGACACGATTGCATGACGCTCACTAGCCCCATAAATGTGGCCTATTTACTGGACTACCTCCGTAAACATAGGCCACACATCCACATGTACAAAAACGTGTCGCACTTTGCCAAATTTTGATTTTCACATTTAGGCTTAGTTTGTAGGTTATTTTTGCTTTAGAAGCATACTCACCCTCTTTATAGGCTAATCAGAAAGTGCTGCCTTTGATAGATGTCTATTTTTCGTGAAATTTCCAGATTCATTTGCATACGTTTGCGTATCAAAATTTCAACATGAAATTTCACAAAAATTAGACATCTGAAAAAGGCAGCACTTTCTGATTAGCCTATAAAGAGGGTGAGTATGCTTCTAAAGCAAAAAAAACCTACAAACTAAGCCTAAATGGGAAAATTAAAATTTGGCAAAGTGCGACACGTTTTTGTACATGTGGATGTGTGGCCTATGTTTACGGAGGTAGTCCAGTAAATTGGCCACATTTATGGGGCTAGTCGCTCATGTGTTAAATATGAGCAGAATGGGCGTTGGCGAAACATTTGCATAACACCACTTCAGCGACTTTATCCCAAATGACTTTTGACCTGAACTATTTCATCGAGATACCAAACTGTTTTTTTTTGTTCAGTTTAGATGGAAGGTTAGAAAAGGCCATTCCAGCATTATGGAAGGAAATGTAATGTCCATAACAGAGCCAATTAACCATGATATCTAATTGATGATTCAGTGAAATTATTCAAGACTCCTAGTCTGTAATCTCCTTGACCATTACTAGATGATGGATGTATAAGATTTGAAGAAAAAAAATCAGGTTTATTCTCTGAGCTTTTAAAGTAAAACAAAACTGTCTGATTTATTTATTTATTTATTTATTATTTTAACTTGGTAGCCCAATCAGAGGAATCCACTGATCTCCCATGGGTCCCAGTACAGAGAAGAGAATGTGAAAAATTACAGTTTTATAGGTGGGAGGAAAAGCCCAGAAGAGTATTCTCAGGAAAACCCACGGAATCAGGTAGGGACCAGTGTTGGAGCAAAGGCTTTGACCCTCAAGGCCAAGGCCAAGGCCAAGGCTTTGACCCTCAAGGCCAAGGCCAAGGCCAAGGCTTTGACCCTCAAGCCTCGAGGCCAAGGCCAAGGCTTAACCCTCAAGGCCAAGGCCAAGGCCAAGGCCCTGTTTTATGAAATGACCACAGATATAGAACTAATTATAGTCACATGAGTGACACGTCATCACGCAAGGGCGGATCCAGAACACAATTTGGGGGGGGGGGGCAAAGAAATTTTGGTCCCCCCCAAAAAAAGTGGGTCAAAAAATTACGGCTTGGGCTTCGGGGCCCGCCTAAGGGCCCCGAAAAAAATTTGGATTCGAGATATGCTCTGTGGTGCGATTTGAGGCAATTTCTGACCATTTTTACCGATGTTTTTTTGAGGAAAAGATGGTGGTGTACTCATTGCCTGCCTTTATTACGACGTCACATTAAAAAAAAACGGTTTCGTGTTTGTTTGGGGTTTTTTTGGGGGGGGGGGGCAATGGCCCCTTTTGGCCCCCCTGGATCCGCCCTTATCATCACGAATTGCTCGTTACGAAGAACAACATTTCTTTAATTGCAATCAACATGCTCGCATAGGCCTACACCGTTTTATGACTGCACTGTATCTATTAAAGTATAAGTCCAGGTCTTCAATATGGTTTAACTAGACAAAATAATGATTTACTTCTATATTGACACACAATTCTCCCAATTGTATCAAAAGGGGATCCGAGAAACTGATTTGGGAATTTTTTTATTTGCTGGCCCAACATGGTCAGAAATATCAGCATTATCTAAAACAGATACATGCAAATCTTAAGCACTTATCAGGGAGACATATACAACCAATCAGATCTATTCCATAGTTATATGCGCCTTGAGCGTCTTTTTAGACAGATTTTGGCGCTATATAAATGTTCTCTATTATTATTATTATATGCAATTAAAGTGATCATCTCATTAGCCCCACAAGTGTACGGAATATTTTTGCAGCAAATCTACTACAATGGTAACAAAATGTGATGCTACAAAAGTGGAAGTGTGCCCAACACACAAATCTATAGGGTGCTTCCCTCCTCCATGGTAATACGATTAAAACGGTAACAGCAAAATTTCGAACAGATTTATCTGGAAAATGCAAAAATCTATGGGCCTTGAAGAGCCTTGACTCAAAATTGCAAGGCCCTGAACCCTCAAGGCCAAGGCCAAGGCCAAGGCTTTTGCCCTCAAGCCTCGAGGCCAAGGCCAAGGCCCTAAAATCCAGCCTTAAGGCAGCCTTAAGGCCAAGGCCCAGCATCAAGGCACTACATCACTGGTAGGGACTGAAAACCCAGGCCACATATTGGCCCAGGCGGGATTCGAACCCGGGTCACAGTGGTGGAAGGCGAGGAAAGTACTGCTACACCAACCTGACTCCCCAATGTAATGTCCGTTATGCTGGATTGCCCAAAAGAACCATTGTGTCAATCCTTTTATGGAAACTCAGGCAACAAGAACAGAAACTTCTTCAGACTTTACCAGTGAAATGAGCTAATATAAAAGCCTGCAAGCTGAAAAATGGATTCTATTTTTTTGTCTTGCATATTGTTTGCGTCCATGCATGATTGCATCCAAGCATGACAAATTCCCACCGCTGCCCACCAACATGGCACCATTTGCACTATTTGCTTCCTACCAGGAGACACACCTCCACAGCAACATACTGACAGATACCCCAGCCCTAAACCCGTCAAAAAATGCGTCGGTTTCAGCGAACCTTGTGACTCATCAGACGGTGAAGGTTATTTCTTTCCTTTCTTTTTTGTCCTCAAGGTTCTTAAATAGCCTACAGGATTTTTTTGATTCGTCTGACAATGTCTTGCCGTAATTTGTTGCTTTAAATACAGGATTTAAGAACCGTCTGAAAATGTCTTGTCTTAATTTAAAGTCAGACTTCATTTATAGATAACAGACTTGTTGAGGGATTTCAACAGTTAGTGGTTGAGAATGTACTTCTGTTACACATGTAGGAATTCATGGAGTGGTGTCTAAGGCCCGTTCTAGACGCCATGCTACTGCCGCGCCGAACTTAATTGAAATGAGTGCGGCAATAGGTCGTCTACAGCACGGCAGACTGCTCTCAACGCCAAACTTAACAATCTGGAGTGACTGACCAGGTTAAAGCAGTTCAAACAGTTCACAGAACTGTCAGCGCGATCAAAATATTCGCGCCAATGTCATGCCCCCTGATGCCGTTGCCAAAGAAGGCATTGTGAGCATGTGTTTTCCTAAAATGTTTGCACCAACTTCGAATTGAATTGAGTTGGGCACGACAATGGCACGGCGTTTAAAACAGAGCCGGGCCACTGCCGTTCTGAACCATGGTAGAGCAGCAGCCCTGTCCAGCCAAAGAATGGTGCTGTGCCGAACTCCATTTGCCGAGCCATGCCGAATTAAAAGAGTCCAATTAATGGAGTTCGGCACGGCAGTAGCAGGTGTCTAGAACAGGCTCGAAGTGAAGAACTATTGAAGTATCATGATATAAAGAGAATAACTTGGAAGTGAGGGTGAAGTTGAATAGCATCAATGCTTTGTTAATTACATTAAGAATGAGAAATCTCTGGTTTTTTTCTGTTGCACTATACAGCATAAATTTGTAATTTTTTTCACCCTGTATCTACCTTCATATGTAAAACTTCATAACGGTTTGGCTGTAATTTCATTTAATAAATGCGCTATACTACCAACCTCACAAATAGAAAGAAAAAAAACCAAATGGATATGATAAATATATTATAGTCTAGCCTACTATAATGTCAAGTCTTAGGGAATTGATTTTAAGAATCATCAGTGGTAAGTTCTTGGTAACATTTCATTGATATGAATAATGTTGAGGTAAGCACAGTATCATTCATATGTGTAAATGTAATCAGCGTTATCATTTTGTCCAGTTTGCTGTATTGTTATACATTTTTTGTTTATATGTAACATTCGTTTGTTTATATACGAACTGCTGTATATTTAAAACTTTATTCTTTTTACAAAGTACTGTTTTTCTCCCCAAAGGTCACCGTTATGATGATGTAGGAAGACGGAGATCTAAGATTTTAAAGACGCCTTCACCGTCCTCACGGACATTGACTTATCCAAGTACGCGCAGCCATAAACCACATGAGGTATTCAACTTGTTTTTTCCTTTTTTTCTCTCAAAGTACTCTAAATCTCCATCTTAGAACAAAGAAAGCATTTTAGATTTTGGATAACTGTTGTCACAGAAAAGAGGATCTTATTCCAAATTTGAAAAATTTGGCTAACTTTTCGCACAAGTCATTGTTAAATTTAGCCAGTCCCAAAGTTTGAATTAATGCAAGTATTTGTATGTTAAAAAATATATTCAGCCGGATCAGTTGAGGAAAATTTGTTTACTTCATTGTACAGGGTGAGTTAAAAAGACAGTGACATGAATTAATGATTTATTCCCCTTAAAAAGCAATTACATTTGACACGCCAATGCAGCATATATTAAATGAGCATGTTCTTCTACTCGTGAAAAAAAACCAAATTGCTGAAATTGATCATGCCTGCAGAAGTTATGCATAATTTACTAAAAGAAGCCATTTTTACAGCTGTCCATGGAATGCTATTTTGAAGCTATTAAGCCCAATGAGAACCAGAAATTATGCACAGGCATTCAAATACAAATGAGATTTTAATAATTTGAGTTAAGACTGAAACATTATTTTTACTGTGAGTGTTTGTTTTTTGTATATGAGGAACAAATCAAGTTTTATTTTTCTGAAATAATGAAGGTGATTTGTCTGTTTTCGTTTGCAAGTGTTTGTTCATTCACGGAGATAGGAAAACCTCCCTGTTCAGTGTATTTCATCAAAGTGTATTGGTGAATGATCAGTGGTGGACAGCTGGATTTTGTGGTATTTCTATTAAAATAGAAATAACCTGTATGCAACTTACGTGAAATGTTCACAGTTTCTAGTCAATTACATGTACTTTGCATATTTTTTTTTTTTTTTTTTTTTAACTCAGTCACTTTTTGTTTGACTTACCCTGTATTAGTCAGGTGGCTTAGATCTAATTTTCGTCAAGATCGTGACCGACTGGTCCAAAGCACCAAACTTGGCAGATATATTCTTATAGACCTAGAGAAGATATTTAGAAGGGGTGACACCTGAAATTCTTTTGGGAAGGGTGCCTAATTTGCATAAATCGTTAATCCCTGACGTGTAATATATTTATTCCCATATTTGGGTATATTTCCATTTTTTTATTTTTTTGAAAAGTATATTTTGGGGATTCTACTTACATATCTTTACTTAAATAACATTTTCCAAAGCATATAAGTGACTGAATAATTATGAGGACATAGTAACGATCCAAAATGGCTACTATTATGACCTAAAATTGCGCGCATTTACCTTGTCTCCAGATATCATCAATTAGTCTTGCCAAACATTAGCATTGATGAACTTCAAATTCACCAAGTAGCTTACTGGTACAGCAACCCTATTAAAACCTTATGCAAAATCATGTGAACTATGATAACATTGTGATATTAAGCCCAGAAAACAAAAACTGGGGAAAAACGAGGTGTCCATAAATTAGGCTAACAAGTAGGTGAATGGTTGCCTAACATGGAACACTGGAACAAGTTCAAGGAAATTCCCCTAATAATTGTTGAGAAAACGTTTTGGCGTAGACAAAATTATTGTAAACAACAATAATCTCTTATTTAGGGGGATTTTTTTGAACTTGTTTAAGTTCCCACGTTACCCTTCCCGTACTAGCCCAATTTACGGACACTACATTTTCTCCCCTTTTTTGGTCTTTTGGGCTAAGCATCAAGATGTTATCAATTTTCACTTAATTTCCCACTTATTTTTGTTAGGGTTACTATGCCAGTAAGTAACTTTGTTAATTTGAAGCTCATCAATACCCACGTTTGGCGAGACTAGTTGATGATATCTGAGGAAAAGGTAAATGCGCGTAACTTTAGGGTAAAATAGTAGCAATTGTGGTTCTTTACTATGTCCTCCTAATTATTCAGTCACTTATATGTTTTACAAAATGTTATTGAAGTAAGAATATGCAAGTAGAATCACAAAATACACTTTTTAAAAAAATAAAAAAATAAAAATATACCCAAATATGGGAATAAATATATTACACGGCAGGGATTAACGATTTATGCAAATTAGGCACCCTTCCCAAAAGAATTTCAGGTGTCACCCCTTCTAAATATCTTCTTTAGGGCTATAAGAATATATCTGCCAAGTTTGGTGCTTTGGACCAGTCGGTCACGATTCCGACCATATGCCACCTGACTATATGCTACTCAAAATACACTACTCAAAATTGCAGTTGAATCAGAAATACAGCCCACAAAAATATTCTTTAGTTATGTGGTGTTCTTTAGCCAAATGTTCTGTAGTTCTGTCGTACAAACCTGCTAAATATATATAGGAATTTATATTCCTATTTTATTTATATAAATTGTTTGATTTGGTCTAACTAGAGGGGTGGGGTGGGGGTGGGGAGGGGATTGTTGTTTCTGTTCTGTCCAGGGATGTCTACATGTGGTTTCAGGTTTTTTAATTAATGACTGTTTGACTTTGTTTATTTTACATTTACATTTCAGTGTTTTTATCACATTTTTAATTTTAATTAAAATTCCTTTTTTACTTGTATAATTTGTTTGATTTGGCCAAGCTTGCGGGGAGGGGGTTGTTTTCTGCTCTGTCCGGGGGTGTCGACTTGTGGTTCAGACTTTTTAATTACTATAGTGTTATGTTATCAATTTTTTTGAGATTTAAAAAACCACATTTTTAAATTTAATATATATTCCTTTTATTTATATAAATAGTTTGATTGTGAAGCGCCTCGTAGCATTTTTTTAATGGATTCGGCGCTATAGAAATTTACATTATTATTTTTATTATTATTATTAGTTTAGACCTTAAAATAACTTTTTTAAGTATTAAGACATTACATTTTGTGTGTTGGATATTACTTGACAGTTATTTGTGGAGCTAGATGAACTCCAGCGCAGTGAGCAGTATGCAGGCATCGGGGCTAGCAGCATCCACTGGAAGGAGAAGGCTCGATGGATTAAGTTTGAGGAGGACCGAGAGGAAGGGTCGGATCGATGGGGCAAACCTCACGTCGCTTCCCTGACATTTAATAGTCTTCCCCATCTTAGGAAAGGTCTGGAGCATGGTAAGTAGGCTTGGTTGGCCGACTTGTATTTCAAGCTCTTTCATTGAAATGGGATTAGGGGTGCAACCCTGCCAAAAAAAATCCCATAGACACTAGTGCTAAATGCGCATACTTCAAAATTCTTTTAAAAATACTCAGAACTCTCACAGGTACTCAAGCTGCACAGAAAAATGATGATCAATGTGCCATCTTTCATTTTCTTTTCATTTTTTGGTGGGTTGACCATTGACTTTTTGAGATATTCTCACCCAAAGAAGAAAACCCCTATTTTCCCAAAAGCGGAAAAGTAGCCATCTTGAAAAACAATCCCTCCACAACATGGCAAAATAGCGCCACTTTCTAGCCCAATAGCATCCAAAATGCTCAGAATTGGAAGCTCCAAGTCCGGGCCAGAGGTTCATTATATATCTCTTCAATTTCCCAATTTTATGGCTCTCAAAACTCTCTAAAATAGAATATTTTGAGGGTATAGCTTTTCTTCATGAGCTCAGCGGATGGATTTTTGGCCTATTTTCAGGAAGGCAAGGAGTTAGGAAGGCAAGGAGTTGTAGAACGAGAATTGATAATAGATTGGTGCCATTTTAGATTCAATCACTGCTCAAGCATTGTGTCGTCTGATCGTGTGTGCTTTTTTCCAGCTTGTCTACATTTTATTTTTATTTTTATTTGGAGATGTTTTTTTTGATGCAGTGCATGAACAGTCAATGTCATTTCAAGATGATTTTAAAATATGCACTGTCTGTTCTAATTTTCAAGTTTCAAGTAGCAATACAAAGTTTCAATTTTGTTTTACCTTTGAATAGGACATAGAAAGATGTTGATATGGAAAACTTACTTTATTTAATTCTTATTTTAACTGGGTAGCCCATTCAGTGGAATCCACTGGTCTCCCATGAGGCCCAGTAAAGAGAAGACAATGTGAAGAAATTACAGTTTAAGATGTGGGAGGAAAACCCCAGAAGAATATTTTGAGGAAAGCCCTCGGAATCGAGTAGGGACTGAAAACCCAATCCACAATATTGGCCGAGGCAGAAATCGGATCCGGGTCACAGCGGTGGAAGGCGAGGAAAGTACCACTACACTGACCTGACTCCCTATAAATTTCAAATTATTCGTGGCCCAACAATTCTTTTAGAATCAATTATGTTTGGACAGGATCCAGTCTACTTAGCCCATTCATTGGTGTTACAGGGTAGTCCTATACAATAGCACTGCCCCACCCTTTTCACCAGTCTACAGCCAGTGTACACCACAAATGACAGTCATTTGGTCAGATTGGTACAAAAAGTACACTAGAATAGCCAAAATTGAACTTGTTTAAATTAATGATGTGCAAACCCGACCCAAAACCGAAACCGACCCGACTCGAAACCGACTTCGGGTCAGGTCGGGTCGGTTTGTCCATCTTTTCAGTCGGGTCAGGTCGGTTTCGGTTTTGCATTTTTATTTTCGGGTCGGGTGGGGTCGGTTTAGCCATCTTTTGAAAAAAACGAAATATACCGAAATAAACCGAAATAAACCAAAACAGTTCAGAAATTCAGGTGATGCAATATTATTGACCGTCACTGTGACCGCAGCCCATAGTGTGGTGTGGCCACCAAGCGCGCTATCAAGTTCCAATGATTTTAATTTCTCCAGTCGGATCGGGACTGACAGTGAAATAGATATGTTGTAAACAGTTCTCATGATACCGCGTGGTGACCATGCGTTTGTTCAATAAGAGGAGTTACTCTCGATCAACCCACTGAGTATGACATAGAGAAAGACAATGGTTTTGCAAAAGAATTCATGCCACATGGGTAAGGGCAGGCACAAAATAGTGATCACTTTGTCCAAGTCAGGTATTCGGTTTTTTTCCCGTTTTTTATCGGGTCGGGTCGGTTCGGGTCGGTTTTACCTTGAGGGAGTTAAGATCGGTTTTGGTTTGGATTCGGTTTATATCTCTAATGTTTTGGGTCGGTTTGGCCTGCTCGACCCGACCCGATGCACATCATTAGTTTAAATGCAGGGACTTGCACACCTTAAAATTTGTCATTCCTTTAACTTTTTCAAACAACTTGCTCACTCTGGCAAACATAGCTACTCCTGTGAAGGTTTGAAGTGTGTACACTGGGTAGAAGGGCATTAGCATTTCGGTAATTTAATATTAATGCATGAGACTAATCCAGATCTTGTCTTGTGATTTATCCTAGGTTTAGTGTTACTAGACATCCCTGAGACTACGCTACCAGCTATCTTCAATGCCATGGTGGAAGGAATGCTGAATGCCGAGCTCATACAACCAGAACAACATGGATTGGTCTTGAGAATGTTGCACCAATCTGCTCGCAAGTATGTTATACTGTCATCCTGCAAGTCATGTGAACTGGAAGACTTGTATAGTGTTTGTTATTTCACTTCATTGAAAATAAAAAGTGTTGGAAGATTATGTAGAGAACATACTAAGAGAACCTTTTTTTCTGCCAATATCTTCTATCTTTAGTAAGGGAATGAAAAGGTGCTTGCCCGGTTTAAAACAAGTACGTTTATGCCCCTCTCACACCAATCCAAGACCAGTGCGAGGTCACTTCGGAAATGCAATTTTTCAACAGTATCCGTGGTCTCCGTTTTTGTGTCCATTTTTTGAAGCCAGCACGTTTTTATTTCGTGGTACCCGTTTTTACTTCGTGAGTAATCCGTGGCCACCTCGGAAACACCATGGGACCAACCCGTGCTCATGTCTGTTTCCTGGAATTCACGGACTGCATGCCAGCGACATCTCGTGGCCATCCCGATTGCATCCTGTGATGACTTTGGCGCCAGCTCGAGACTACTACGTGGTGTCAGTGGTGACTACGGCGCCAGCTCGAGAGTACTACGTGTAGTACGCGAGCACTTCGTGGCCAACTCGTAGTACCATCGAGTACCGCGTAATGAAAACGGCTGTAGAACAGGCCAACATTCAATCCGGGGCCATCCCGTAAAATCCGATGTAACTTCAGTCCGTGGAGCATCTGTGAGAATCGGCCCACGGAAGGAATCGACATGTCCTTAATTCGTGGTTAGTTTGTGGCAACCCGTGAGATCTGATTCCATTTCGTGGTTACTTCGATTTTTTAACTTTTGCGCCCACGGACACCTCGGACACCTCGAAGTGGCCACGAAATGGCTTCATGTATTGGTGTGAGAGGGGTCTTAAAACAGGCCAGGGGCCTGGCCGCAGTTAATGAACCCCAGCCAAAGCACATATTTATTACCATTCATAAGTACCTGTTCAACAATTAATTGTACTTCATGTTTTGTGAAACACCCCTCTAGCCATGTGTATGGTATGTGCCTCGCGTGCGTAGAGCAAAAAAATCTCCTTATATTGAAATAAGCACATGCGGCACTATTGCACAATATGGCACAGAATGCAGGAATTGTGTTTGAAACCAGCCGGTGTTTTAACAGCAGTTTAAAACCACCCACGTGACCGGTCTCCACCAATAGGAATGGGTAAACTATCTTAGGTATTGATGAATTTTGCTTTAAACACACATACCAACTTGCGCTTGAACTGTTCCTTTAAGTAGTCTCTACATTCTCTCTGCAATTTAATACAAATACTGGAGAATGACCTTTTCAAATCTAGCAACTTTACAATATTGGTTTGAATTCACTCTTTCCAAATTGGAATATTGAGACTGAATGTTATGAATGAAAACCTAAAAGATTGTCATTTTATGTCAGTTTACTATCAAATTACACCGTTTCCTCTGTTGACCAAAGCAAGTGTTACCTTTTAAATAGATTTTTATTCCCCAATTTCCTCAACTCCTTTTCCATCCGAGTTCCCGCCCCCTTTTGAAAGTGATAATTTCTTGTTATCTTCCAGGAATGTCACAGAACAAACCGGTCTCTTTCAAGCCTCAGTCAGACGTCTTTCAATGTACGCCGGATCGGATTCGTCTCGCAAGACGTCCGTCATCAGTACCTCGCCACCGACGACGAATAATGCCACAGTCCTGTCGCCCTCTTTTGACAATCATGCCAACGGGGTAAGAGGAACATTATTGTTTGTAAGTTGGATGAGTTATTAGCATTCTATAGATGAATTTGGCGAATGTATTTATATGCTTATTCATAAATACCGGATTCGTTAATTGTCCGCATCGTGGACCCTAGCCCTTAATAATATTCAGTCATATTTTGAAAGTAAACGTTTGGAAAATAATTGACTTTTTTTTTCCATTGACTTAGAACTTTGGAAAATAACATACTTCCCCTCAAAACAAAACAAAAGATAAGCAAGTACCAGACCAAAAGAAAACAAACAGAATATCCCAGAATAGATGACCTTCTCAGCTGTTATTGAATCGGCAGTTTACCAGTTCTATCTAACAAGATTGGTTTTAATCTTGCCAAACATCTTGTGATGCAATTACATGACCAACACTTCAATCCATGTATCCTAATTAGATTATTTTAATAAGTGGTTTACTTATTTCTTTATCCCTTTGCTCTAAGCGTTCCAGGAACGAGTTTAAGTTTCTGGTGGGTCAGCGAACTAGAATTAGATTTTGGGTTCAATGGAGACTCGAGAGTTAAGACCAAAAAAAACCCAAGGAACTAAACTTTGGCTGTTTTTTTTCCACAATAATGTTGGCATAAGAGCTTTTTGCAATGTATACTTTTTTAATAAATGGATTCCATACTCTTTTAACGCTAAAAAAGTTCAGCGATTGTAAAAAAAAAAAAAAAGTGGAGAAACCGGAGTTCCCAAAATAACAAAATTAGTTTTTAACAAAATACACATAACAATGGCCTTAATAGGTGTAATTGTCTTATTGGCATTAACATTTTGTCACTGATGGCTGAATCATCAGTTTTACTTCAAACAGGATTTCAAAATTGACCACCTCTTCAGATTCGGGCTTTAAGTGGCCATTCCAACATTTGGTCATTTTGAAGAAGTATGTACATGAAGGCCTAGTCTTTAAAGGGAAGATACAACATTTGCAAACATCAAAAAACAAAATGATCAAATTTTCACGAAATATCTTACTGGATTATTAGGGAAGGACAGTCTCAAGCATCCTGTTAAGTTGTGGTTCCTGGTATGCTGGAATTTTCAAGAAAAACTGTATTTTTCCAACGCTGGTCGGCCGACCAGCATTGGAGAAAACTGGCTTTTTTCAAAAAGTGCTCCGAATTTTTCATATTTAGTTCGTCCGCATTTTCTTTGCAATTGATTACACACCTGTGAAGACTACAAGCCTGCTAGACTGATTATCTGACCTTACAATTCCCCAAAGTCTATAAATTGCTCCGTTTCATCTTAAGTGGGGTCAGGGAACCAGACTACAAGAATATGATTGGTTTTCTTGGTTTTTCAAGCATATTTGAACCCAAAACGTGAAACAAGTCAGTGTAACAATATTTGCAATAACATACTAATCCTCCAAATCCATTTATTTCTGAAAATTGCAGCAAAAGCACATGTTGTACATTCCCTTTAAGCATAAACTTTGATTTTTTCAAACTGGTGTCATTCCCAGGCTGACGAGGTCCGCATATCAATGCTGGAGAACAACAACAACAGCAACGCTGACGTGCCACTGACGAGACGCCTAACGGTTCACGGCGACGGCATCATGAGAAAGATTCCCACGGGATCCGAGGCAGCCATCGTCATGATTGCAACCGATGAAGCCTTTGAGGAACCAGTCATGACGTTAGTCCGTCTCGAGGAGGCGATCGTCTTTGAGAACTTTCTTGAAGTGCCTATGCCCCTGCGGTTCATTTTCTTCATGGTTGGACCTAGCTTTGCCGACACGGATTACCATGAAATCGGCCGTGCAATGGCTACACTGTTTTCAGATGAGGTAGGTTGTGACAAACCATCTTTAGAATCGGATAAAATTTCAAACCTGGCTGGTGGTTAAAGGGAAAATACAACATTTGCAAACATCAAAAAATAAAACTACCAAATCATTTTGTAATACCTTGCTGGACTGTTAGTGAATGACAGTGTAAAGCATCCTGTAAAATCATGGCACCTGGTATACTGTCATTTTCAAGAAAAGTGGTATTTTTGTATCAATTTCCAACGCTGATCGGCCAATCAGCGTTGAAAAAAAACTGGCTTTTTTCAAATACTGGCCCCAGTTGACCATCGCACTTGTTTGCAATCGATTACACACCTATGAACGGGTACAAGCCAGCTAGACTGTTTCCCTGACCTTACAATTCCCCAAAGTATGTAAACTGCTCTGTTTCTTCTTAAATGGAGTCAGGGAACCAGACTACAGGAAAATGATTGTTTTTCTTGGTTTTTATAGCATTTTCGAACCCAAAACCTCAAAAAAGTCAGTGTAACTATATTTGCTATATATTCCAACCCCCTAATTCCATCCATTTCTGAAAATTACAGCAAAAGCAAATGATGTATATTCCCTTTAATATAGAAAAGTGCATGGCTTTTGAAATCCATAATATTTCCAGTTGCACTTTGTAATTATTTAGATATTCAATCACAGTGTATCGGGTTTTGCTTATATTTCATCATCATTCTTTACAGTAAACAAAAGTCTGTATTTCTAGGAACAATGTACTTTTGAATAGTTTTGGGGGTTATCTTCAGTTTCTTGGGTTTTGATGGCATTTTATGAAAATGCATGAGATTAACAGTTGCAGCCAAAAAAATTGACATTATGTTGTGGGTCATTCTTTAAAATTTGTTTCCAAAGTGTTCAGTTTTCTTTTCCCAGTTACCTCTGAACTTTGAAATTTGCCATTCAAGTGTCATTAAAAACTACTTCAAACTATTTTTTATTGTTGGGTAGGTAGTTTGTTTTTATAACCAGTCTTCAGAGGAGGAAGGCATTAAGAAGTGCATCCAGAATACATGTCAGATGTAAAAGGGTATGAAACAAATTGACCCTCAAATTCATAGAATGACCCCTATGCAACTAGAAGTTGTTATCTGCTTTTTTGAAGACAAATGACCTATTGCGGTAGAATCGTGTTAGAATCGCGTTAACGCAGCTTGTGAAATGTTGTCCAATTACATGATATACAAATGGACGCGGAACGCGCAAAATCTGAGACAAACAAAACTTAGTGTACAAACATTCCATAGGGTTGTCTAAGGGGCATGGCTAACTCGCAAACGTCGATAGGTCAATTGACACACATTCAATCAGGAATCTATCCAATTTAAAAGACAATGGTTGCCGATTATTTTGCAGGTGTTTCGAGACATCGCCTACACCGGTTTAGACAAGCATGACATCATGAAGGGAATCAGCGAGTTCCTGAATGACACCATGGTCTTACCACCCGGAGACTGGGATCGAGATCTGCTACTTCCGATCACGAGGATTCAGAAGAAAGAACAGGCCAAGGTGATGAGGAGACGACAGACTCTCAAACCGACCAAAGAGGATACTGAGGGTGGGCCATATTATTCCAATTACACCTTGTGCATTATTTATGTGTCACTTTGCTTATCTGATGTCCATGCATATTCATGAGTAGATCTACCAATCATCTCATGTTATTACACCTTATATATTTATGAGACATTTGGCTTTCCATCTATGATCATTGCACCTTATACATATTTTTGGGTGACTCTGCATATCATTATGCATTAGGCGAAGTAAAAAAAAAACATGTTTCTCGTCCCCGCCCGCTTCCTTTTTGGAGGCCGCCTGGATTTTTTTATTATTTTTTATTTTTGAAATATGCAGTAAAAAAACACAGAAAAAGTCCACAAATTCATCGGAAAATAAATTGTAGACCAATACAAGTCTAAATGACACTGTAAATATGTTCAGTTCTCTTGTCCAACTTATCTTTCATTTTAAAAGTGTCTTTGAACAGTGGAAACACCAACAATTGCAGGAAATTTTTAAATGGCGGCCATCTTGAAACAAATAAAAAATAAAAAGCCCCGCTTCCTCCTTTTTTTCGAAAACCCGGATGAGAAACATGTTTTTTTTTTATTTGGCCTTATATATCATTCTTATGTAAATTTATATTCCAGTTTACTGAATTAAATATGCTTGCACATCATAAATATGATCAACAAACTAACCTCTTGAGTTTTATACTCTTTTTGCAAGGCGTATATAAGGCATTCCTCTGATATATATATATATTTTTAATTAATGGGCAATTCCACAGAATTATAAACCTCAGTGCCAAAACTTTAAAAAAAATTCCATAGATGAAACGTGTGTATCATTCTGAAGCTCATTAGCTGTATTTTATTGAAATATTGTTTATTATTGTTCAACGGTTCAGCTGTTACTGTTAACATACAAATTAATAAGTACACCAAAAAAATAATCAACTTTTGTCTGAGTACATCCAACACCATGGTGTTTTGAGCCAATTCTCCCGTAGCAATAAAGGCTGATAGATCATTTCTTTTTTAAGTCATTGTAGTAACTACATGTAACTGATATGTTTTACCAGAATCAAAATCCATTTTATGATGTAACTTTATTATGCACATTGCTGATTTGCCCCAAAGCAAAATGTACGTCTGACACAGTGGAACTGCCCTAATGCATATTTATGAGCAAATCAGCTTTCAGTGTACATTATCACGTCTCATACACGTTAACTAGTTTACTTGTTTGTCAACAGTTCTAAGCACTGGCGACAGCTTTTGAGCATTATTTTACTGATGTCTTTAACCAAGGTTCTCTTCTCTGTTTCCCTATGTAGCTGTGCTTGCATTGGCTAAAAAAATGCACATTGAACTCCAACTGGATCCCCTACGTCGGACCGGTCGGATATTTGGGGGTCTCGTCAACGATGTCAAACGACGATACCCACATTACTGGAGTGATATTACTGACGCTCTCAACTTCCAATGTCTGGCTGCCTTTGTCTTCATTTACTTTGCCTGTCTGTCTCCAGCTATCACGTTTGGTGGTCTGCTCAGTGAGTTATCTTACTTTCTTTAAGAAAGACATTGACTTATTGGCTGACTGCAAACATAGGGCTGGATAGCTTAGTTGGTAGAGAGCCAGTACTAAGTAAATTTTTTTCCTTAGTTTGCCAGCATTTATTACTAATTCTAGAAATGTAAATTGATTCTTTAGTTCTTGGGGTAAGGCCAAAAAAAAAAATATTCAGTCTCTGGTCAGTGCGCGCGTCGATTTTAATCATGCGCGTCAACCTTTTTTTTTTCTTCAAATTAACACGGAATCTACAACAGCGCCCTCTATTGCTGCGCCTCCTCAAATTTTTGTACCAAGGAATGGGAAAATTGTACCAAGGCAAATGATAAAGGGCACCAAGGCAAATTATGGAGGACACCAATGTATAATGAGGACACAAAAAAGCAAAATAGTACCCACCTTGTCTGTACAATACAAGCTTGAAAAAAAAAAGCCACCCAAAAAAAAAAAAAAAAAAACCACGTCGCCACATCAATTCCGGAACTTCGGTCTGACCAGAGACCGATTTTTTTTTTTTTTTGGCCTAACATACCGGTATTTTAATAAAATTGCTAGCTATAGAATTCGGAAATCTTAGACATGATTGTTATTTCTTGTATTTCTTTATATTGTCTTTGTTCTTAAGGGTCTGTGGGCAACATACGGCTGTTTTTAAGGGTTTTCTGCATGTTTTGTCACCACTTATCACGTTCCACAAGATGAATGGAACATTTTGATTATTCCTTTGTTGTCATTTTAGTCCTGTGTCATACGTCCAATTTTACTCACATAAAGTTGTCTTTTGAATTGAAATGCCTTTGAGTGGACTTTGTTTGACAATTAATGAAAACGTTCCCATTGGGGGCATTATTCTTAGTTGATGTTCAATCTTTTCCTGTAAGGAATCATCTCATAAAATATCCAGGATCAGTTGCAGACAAGTTTATCCACATTAGACCCATTGTATTGGGAATTAGTTGCCATAAGGCCAAAAAAAAAATCAAAGAGCACCAAGGAATGGGAAATTGCACCAAGGCAAATGATCGAGAGCACCAAGGCAAATTATGGAGGACACCAATGTACATGAGGACACCAAAAGAGCAAAATAGTACCCCACCTTGTCTGTACAATCCAAGCTTGAAGAAAAAAAAAAAGAAGCCGCGTCCCTGCATCAATTCCGGAACTTCGGTCTGACCAGAGACCGAATATTTTTTGGGGGGGCCTAACGGAACATAGCGCTCATTTGCTTTGTTACAATTAGAAGTGTAGTAAATACGCAGCAACAGGACCGTTTTCAAACGTTTAATAGAAGGTATATCGAGACCACAATGACGAATATTTCTGGATCGCACGGTATTTGATAGAAGAACTCACATTCTTTCAATTAGTAACAGACTTATTTTGTTTGTGATCTGACAATAAATTGCCCTTTCCAGTTGAAATCAACACGTTTTCGGTAAAAGTCAATGGCAAGGTGTGAAAAAAACGCACGTTTTGCGCTACTTTGCGCAAGAAAACCTGCTTTAACTTCTTAAGCATTTGTTGTTGTCATTTGGATCAAGCGGCATGTTGGAGTATAATACTTTCTCTTTACATTTATGTAAAACTTATGGTGATTGGTAAATTGTAACCCATTGCCCTAGTCAAAAGTACTGTATTTTTTCAGCATAAGACACCACGGTTTTATAATGCAAAATCCCGGTGCGTGCTGTGTGCATGGACGCGCGCGCGTAATATGTATACAGTGCTCCCATACACACACACAACGTAGGCATATATACATGTACATGTACAGTGTGCGCGTGTGCAGCGCGTGTAGCATTATTTGAACGAGTGCTGTGCGCTATGTTCCGATATGGTTTCTGAACAATATCCCTAGAATCTTCCTGGAATGAAGTTATTGGTTTGTAAAAGATCTGATAATTATCCTGGATGGATTATGAGATGACTCCAAAAGAATGTCCAATCCTTCTCTTTTTTCTTGACTGTCTTCAGGCGAGAAGACCAAGAAGTGGATGGGAGTGAGTGAGATGATCGTCTCCACGTCCATCTGTGGCATGCTGTTCTCTCTCTTCTCTGGTCAACCATTGGTGATCATAGGAGCGACGGGACCGTTGCTTGTATTTGAAGAACAAATGTTTGTGGTGAGTTGGATCAAATCCCTTGTCAGTAAAGAGAATCTGTAACCTCAGCTGATGACAGACATGTCTTGGGCTCTCTGGTTTAGACTCAATGCACAAGGACATGTACCCCCTCAACAGTTCACAAAGAGAGAGTTGGGAGGGACACAAATGCATGGCTGCTTTTTTGTCAGGTGCTCATGGAAAGATTAAAATTATGTACACGGTCAGCTTCAAATTATTTGTTTGGGTTTTGCACCAAATGTGCTCAAATATGTCTTGCACATGGAGCTCTCGGGAGCAATCCTGACTGACTGTTCATGCAAGATCATTGGAGGACTGAAAATAATTTGAAAACTGCCTAAGAAGCTGGCAAAGGTGCATGTTTATGACGAAACTTTCATAACAACCTGACCCAGGTATTGTGTTTAATAAATGCACATGAACACATATGCAGATGTTTTCACGCAACCCATAAACCCCAAAAATTGTGGCATCATCTCAAAGGCTGTTCCTGTCAATTACCAACTCACCTACTGCTGATTTAATATACGGAAGTAATCCATAATGGTAATTGTTTCTTAAGTTTGTTCTAAATAATGAAAGGTTTGCGGAAACACCATGTGCGAATAATTTCTCAACTAAGAGAATGGTTCTGAAAAGAACCAGAGGTATAAGTTTGTTCCAAACAAAATTTTCTTCTTAGTTCTAATGCTACGTTCTAAAGTTTAATTGCATCTAAAGTATTTGCAAATGTTTCTGGCATAATTTGCACACATTGTAAACTCTTGTAATTTAGTTTAAATGTGTTGAACGTTTTATATTCCATCTGTTTATTTCCAGTTTTGCGAGACGATAGGTATTGAGCTTCTTCCCTTCCGGACGTGGGTTGGTTTCTGGATCTTTGTCATCTCCATCGTCGTGGTAGCCTTCGAGGGCAGTATTTTGGTCCGATATTTCACTCGTTTCACCGAGGAGATTCTGACTGTTCTCATCTCGATGGTCTTCTTGTATGAGACCTTCCTTGGCTTGTACCATGTAAGTGTAAAAAAAAATATCTTATTTTCTGTTGATGTAGAAGTCCATTCATATGGATCAAGTAGTTCTTTTCTTTCGCTTATACCTCTGGTGAACTAGGTTCAAATTCCACCTGTTACAGAATTGGCGTGAGTTTTCTCTTAAATTGTCTGTGTGATATTTCTCCTGCACTTGAAATTGTAATTTCGTTCAATATCACCTCTCAATACTTCTTTCTAGTAAATTTAGAGATCTATTTTTGGGGCAGTGTAGGTTGCAATCTTGAACATGAAATTCTCTCACTGCTGCATTTTGCAGAAAAAAATAATAACGTTCATCAATTTTGTGCACAGAAGCTGTTGATAAATCCCAATTAGACAATCTTAGTGGTTTTTTTTTCCAGTCATTAACACTTTGCCTATACATGTATAAATAAACAGGCTTTGTTTGACATAATTACTCATACAAGAAAATTAAGAATTGAGCCTTATTCAGGAATGTTAGGTGATGCACAATTTAGCTGTGTGAAAAGAGCTGATGAAAAATGATAAAGAACTTTGTTTCTGGAAACCCCTAGGGTCTGTGAAAAAAACATATTAAAATAATGGAGGATTCAGGAATATTAGGGTGAATATCAGTGTCACAGAGCCAAGTGTTCATTTTTGTTTTCCACCTTTCATCTCTTCCAGACAATCTGTGCCAATCCTTTGCTTCCGGAGTATTGCTTTGGCGACAACCTCCACCACGGCGTCGACGCAACCCACGAATCCAACTACAGCTCCTCAGCAAACTACACCTCCTTCCTACCCGCTCCAGAAAACTACACTGCCAATAGTAATCACACAGTGAACTATTACCAGCACTCAACGACTCCATACCCACACACAACCTACCATCAGACATTGGGGCACGTCGTGGAGGATGTACATAAAGACCCGAGTTGTTTACATGTGGACGAGTCTGAGTCTTTCCATGGGGATACGTGTTCACCGGGCCATTGGACGCCGAGACCCAACACGGCGTTGTTGTCTATTATCCTGACATTTGGCACGTACTTCATCTCCTACTTTCTGCAGATTTTGAGGAATAGCAGTTTCCTGGGAAGAACAGTGAGCAAAGAGTTTCTTAGTTTTCTCCTCCTACAACTGCTGGCGAAATTCTGTGTGGCGCGAAGCAGTTTATGATGGATAGGCACGCTAGTTTTTGTATGCTAACAATGTTAGCAGAAAAATGATAAAAGTGCTAAACTTGTAAACATAGAATCCTTGGTTACAGAATGTAAGCATGCACATAAGCCAGAATTTTCTTGCTAACCTGTGAAATATGCTTACCGTAAGCACAGAATGTTTTTGCTACAATAAGCAGGGATTTTTCTAACGGTAAGCTGATAAGCTGTGAAAATGAGCCTATAGCTGATTTACTCATTTTACCTCTGCACATACCATAACGATTGCAACACACCCTAGAAAGTGTGCAGTTTTGAAAAACTCCTCATTTGTTAAAATTCCAGTTGCATTTCCTGGTTACTTCGTTTTTTCTCTCTTAATAAATTGTGTTTGGTACTTAGTAAATTTACCTGACTCAATAAATTGTTTGATAATAATTTAATCCGTTGGTTTCAGGTACCCTTTAAAGTGACATCCATTAATATTGACTAATTACAAGCAGATACAAACTCACTGCGAGCAAGAAAACAAATTGCTTATCTTTCAGCAAATTTTCCTGCAGTGTTTTTTACAAAAGTTGGACGCATTTCAACTCTTTGAGAATTTCGCTGTGGATGTTTCATGATATCAAAGTTGCTTCAATCTCACATATGGGTGCAGTATGAACCAGTCCTTATGAAAATAAATAAGGACTGATTGATGAATCTTATTCTCTCTTTTCCCGAACAGTCCCGTCGTGCCATGGGCAACTTTGGCATCGCCATAGCCATCATTCTCATGGTGTCCCTGGATTATATGATCAAAGACACCTACACGCAAGTAAGAATTGATGCTTGTTTGTGTTCCTAAATGTTGAGTTATGTAAATGTTTAGACAATGTAATGTGCTTGGTATTTGATTTATGGCGGTGTTTTGGTACGAGAATTGATATGTTTTCATTTTTGTTAGTTTTAGTTTCTTGTTAGGTTCTGGTGGTGACTCTTAAATGTCATTTTTATCCATCATACTTCATACTTGAGAGCTGAAGAAATTCCTTGGTAGCACCAAATGTCAGAATAAGACTTGATCTGTTGGCAGAATAACATTTGTTTTGCTTTTGCATGAGCTTAAAATTTAGGACTAACAGTAACAGGACATTATCCACAAGCTCTGCCTTCTCGGTGCTTTTTCCAAAACTTTCTGAGGAAAGAACTTTACGAGCTCTCTTTGGTGGTACTTAGGCCTGTACATGTGACCGCCTTTCTAAAACAGACATCTTAAAGGGAAGATGCAACATTTGCAAACATCAAAAACCGAAATGATCCAATTATCCCGAAATACCTGACTGGATTGTTAGGGAATGACAGTCTAAAGCATCCTGTAAAATCGTGGCTCCTGGTGTGCTGACATTTTTAAGAAAAATAGTATTTTTGCAACGCTGGTCGGCCGACCAGTGCTGGGAAAAACTGGCTATTTTCAAAAACTAGCTACTCCATATTTCTTATATTTAGTTATTCCACATTTTCTTTGCAATTGATTACACACCTGTGATAAGTTGATACTCTGGCCATACAATTCCCCAAAGTCTATAAATTACTCCATTTCATCTTAGGTGGGGTCAGGGAACCGGAGCACAAGAATATAATTGGTTTTGTTGGTTTTTCCAGCATCTACAATCCAAAAACGTGAAGCAAGTCAGTTTAACAATATTTGCTAAAACATATAAATCCTCCAAATGCACTTATTTCTGAAAATTGCAGCAAAAGCCAATGTTGTACATTCCCTTTAAGCACTCAAAAATGTGTTTGCTGAGGTTTTCTTGATTTGAATCGGATGCGTATCACACTCTTAAAAAAATATTTGAAGATTATACATGTATAGTTCCCTTCAAACAACTTGTAGGCTATCAGCTTTTGTCCAAAAATTGGGCCACTGGTATCAAATGATCAAAAGGAGCAATGCTCATAGCGATTTTTGGCAAGGTTTGCACATCTAGAGTTGGAAAATGTGTGATAGCTTTGCAGTGTGAGTGGTGGCAGTTTTTTGGGTGTTATCACATTTATTTTTTTTTTCAAAATGGCTGCCAATATGCTCGTTACTGGATTTATTATTTGTCGTAACACGCATGTTTTGGCCGCCATGTTTGTTTAAAAAGTGATAAAACCCAAAAAGCTGCAACCGCTGCAATGCTTTCACATAGTTTTCCAACTACAGGGGTGCATACCTTGCCAAGAATCACAATGAGCATTATTCCCCTCATTTGATACCGACCAAACCCCCAGGCTGATGGCCTATTGTGCCCACTTCATAATTCATTCAAATATAATTTTACTTTGGTGGATTATCTTGCATAAGGGACATGCTAATTTTTAGTATTGAGGTTTACACATAATTTACTGACGTAACTTTAAAAGCTTGGTGTATACTCGGTGATTTCTAAGAGCTTGTTAAGAAATTTCACCAACCCCCACTCGAGCAGTCTTGTGAATTTCTCACAATTTTTCAGACAGCACTGATCATATATTGCTTCAGTGAAGAGCCATACTCTATATTAAAAAAATAATCTCCTGTTCTTTTCAGAACCACACATACTCACAAAAGACATTCATTCACATGGTGCTACCGCAAACTTATCTTGTCTTAGTATCTTTCCACCCTGCAAACCTTCAAATCTCAAAAAAATAATAATAATTATAATTTCTGGGTTGTTTTTGTCTGCAGAAATTGAGCATCACTGATGGTTTTATCCCCACTGATCCCTGTAAGCGTGGTTGGATGATCAATCCTCTTGGTTTAAACTATGCACTCCCTGTAGGCGCCGTATTTGGTGCCATTGTACCAGCTTTTTTACTCTTCATCCTGCTGTATATGGAAATCCTCTTAACTGGGTAGGTATAGATTCGCCTTGAATATTACTGAGATTGTCCATGGTTAACAGTTACATATACCACTGTTTACCTTAATCGGCCTTGCAAACAAACTGGCATGCAACGTGAATTGGTGTTAACATCTTTGTCAAAAACAGTTTTGAGGGGCAAACTTTGATTTGAATGTTGCCCCACATACCGTTTTTGAATGTCTCCTTCCCTGATTCTCTCCTTCTAACTTCATGAAAGTTAGGCATCTTGCCAGGATTTTCCGACCATTTCCAATCCAGTATACCTAGATGAGTACCACAATCAATGAGTAACCACTGAGTTTTTTGGTTTTGCCTGTCGGCCTACTAACTTAATCAGCACTGAGTAATGAGTATTATACAAAAACTTTTGAACAAATATTCCCAAACTTAATCGGGTGGGACTCAAACGCGCGTCCTTCTCCTTATTAGTTCAGGTAGCTGAATCATTTGGCTATCCCTTATCCCAAACTCCTACCTCCTAAAAGAAATAATTTACTCTTTATTGGTCAACTTCTCATCAAGCAAATGTATTACATGTAATTGCACTTCATTGTCAATTACTGAGTGTAAGTTACATACATTCTTTCCTAGGATTGTGTGAACAATGTTATCTTTTAGTAGAGATACTGTGAAAGATGTGAGTTTTGAGATTTTATATGACTGAGCAGTGTTTTTTCTTTTACCATCTCACAGTCAGTTTGTCAGCAAGAAAGAACACAAACTACGCAAGGGGACAGGCTTCCATCTGGATCTGTTCCTGATGGGTGCTCTGTCCTTAATGGCTGGTTTGTTCGGCCTACCGTGGATGTGTGCTGGCCCCGTACGGACGGTGTCACATCTGGGTAGTCTGAGCGTGCTCACAAGGACGGAAGCTCCTGGCGTCAAGCCAAGATTGGACCACATCAAGGACCAACGCATGACCAATTTTGCAGTCAGTTTGCTTATAGGTGAGCCATTCTATGAAATAAATGCTAGGTTGAACAAATACATTGACAAGAGGCTGCAAGTATTTGAACTTGTGACCTGTGGAACACCATTCCAGTGCTCTACCAACTGAGCTGTCCAGCCCTATGTTGGAATTCCCCCATTTTGTCAATGTCGTTCAAGGGATGCTAGTCAGAAGCCATAAACCTGTTTACCATGTAGCCAGGGATCACGCCCAAACTCACGATACCATCAACTTTGTCAATGCTGCTAACCCGGGAATTAGCATTTTAAGATCTCTCAGAACGGATACGTACTGCTTTTAATTTTTGTTTGGCTGATCTTAGATAAAATGAAATAAAATTCAGCTCAGCGTGAAATTCATTACTATTTATTGCTGACTGGTAAAACAAGAAATTGACATTTATGAACTTGTTGAAATGAAAAATATGTAATTTTTTTTTAAGATTTCAAGTCAAATGCATATGACTATTTCCTAGAAAAGATTCTTTAAATAGTTTGTTTGAAATTATAATCTTATTGCTGTGATAATTTCTGGTAACATGGATTTCATTAAGACAAGTTCCATTATATCACATTTGAATTCTGAGTCTATTACTGTGATTGTTACAGCTTTTAAAGCACACTTCTTAGTTCTTCAGTTACAAGATTCCTGTGCTACTTTCTTTGTTTTGATTCTTAACTTTGATTAATTCAGGTCTTACGCATTTCTTGGCTTCCCCATTGAGAGAGATTCCTATGCAGCGTAAAGTGAATTCTGATTCTATTCATAAGATGGGATTTGCATCGGGGTTATGTAAATTCATATTAGGTTTTGCTCTTCACCGATGTATAAACACTGTAACTCAGTATGTTCTTCCCGAGTGAAAGTGCAAAAAAAATCACTCGGGTGGGACTCAAATTGAAAGCAGGAGGTCGTGGGTTCGAGTCACTGTCACTCAGCTGTAGCTGTGAAAGGCAAAATCTGATATGAATTTACATCACCCCAACGCAAATTCCATCTTATGAATAATTCTGATTCTAAGACAAGATAAGTTTGCGGTAGCACCATGTGAATAAATCTCTTTGTGAGTATATGTGGTTCTGAAAAGAACCGGAGGGACTCAACGTTTCGATCAGTATGCTCTGCCCGTCATCAGGAAAAATGAGGGATTCCAACGATGATGCGATATTATAAGGATGGGTGTGAGAAGGATGAGGCGTGAGAAGGATGCAAACTGGTGAAGCTCGAAACCGGTGAAGCTGAGAAGGATGCAAGTTGACTGATGGATGCTGGATGATCACTGGAGCATACCAGTACACGTAGTGGGGGGCAAAGGGGAAGGATCTCAGGGTATAGGTGACCCATAGGCGAGAACTGAACCTAAGTTGTCCTAGGGAATAGGAGACCCATTGGACTTGAGGATGGTTCTAATTCTGATTCTAATTCTTTATTCCAGGTTTGACGCATTTTATAGCCCCTCTACTGCGAGAGGTACCCATTGCAGTCCTCTATGGTGTCTTCCTGTATCTTGGTCTCAGCTCCTTGAGTGGCATTCAGATCACTGAGAGAATCAAGATCTTCTTTATGCCCAGCAAACATCATCCGGACAAGAAATATGTTCGCATGGTGAGTACATTTATCGGTACAAACCTTGATGAATCAACATAGATGTATGTTTGTCGGTCATACAATACACACACGAATCGTCCCTGGATGAGACCGGATGGCTAGTGGTGACTTTTGACAGACTTGTGATTGACTTGTGATTGACTTGCGATTAACTTGTGATTGACTTGTGACCGACTTGTGATTGACTTGTGACTGACTTGTGATTGACTAGTAATTGACTTGTAACTGACTTGTGATTGACTTGTGATCGATTTGTGATTAACTTGTAATTGACTTGTGATTGACTTGTAATTGACTTGTGATTGACTTGTGATTGACTTGTGATTGACTAGTGATTGACTTGTGATTGACTTGTGTCTGACTTGTGATTGATTTGTGATTAACTTGTAATTGACTTGTGATTGACTTGTAATTGATTTGTGATTGACTTGTGACTAACTCGTGTTTGACTTGTGGTGACTCAAGTTGATTGAAACTGTAGGTTCATAACTGTAGTTGAGTTCATATGATGGTCATAGCATTTAAAACAAGTACCGGTACCTCTTGATTGACTTTTGACAACCTTTTCTCTGACCCAACATCTTGTCTTTTGATCTTCACAGGTCAAGGCATGGAAGATGCACATGTTCACCTTTCTTCAGATTGTCTCCTTGGTTGTCTTATGGTTCATTAAGACATCCATTATCTCCATGGTATTCCCATTTGGTCTGATACTCCTGGTTCTCATCCGACGCAAGGTACTTGGGTTCTTCTACACCTGGCCTGAGCTTGAAGCGGTGAGTCTTTACACATTTATTTATCACATCCAGTTGTACAAGGAGCGAATTCATTTCCATCTTCACTCTTTATTTTTAAGCATTAAAAATTGTTCTTGTCTCAAAAGAAATCAATAACATTAGTCTTAGAGTGGGATACTTTTCACCTAAAGAGCTATGTTCTCAACCAGTCTGCGCCGGAGGCCGTGATAACACGCTTTATATAACCGACATACAGATACTTGTCATTTGATTGGTGGAACTCACATCACGTGTCATTCGTTATTACTGCCATTCACGCCGGGGCTCAAAAAGTACTATCCGCCCATGGGGAATGGGAAATACTATTGAACAGTTAGGATCATTCTTGTTCCATGACGCGGTATTTGTGTGCAGATGCATGCTGGTGTGCACGTTCAGGGTTGCGCGTAGCGCGAATTGTTCCAAAGAGCCAGCACTACAGCGTTGGGTTCAAACATTTTCGTGAAGGGGTGGTTTGGAAGAGAAAAATATATTTTTCACCAATTTTGTATTGAAATAAAAGTTTAAATATATCAAAAGACTAGGATCTTTCTTCGCCTTGTTAAATGGAAAAGTCCAGATTTTACCGAGCGATAATATTCTTCCCATTCCACGCTGATCCACTCAATATTTGTATACTGGCTGCTTTTGTACCCAGACACAGCTGACCGATTAAGACGTCAAGATTGCCTTGACTCACCTCTGGGTGACTTCTAAACATGCTAATCCCTCGTGCCTTTTTTACACACACACAAAGTCCGTGTTGTCTGTGGAGGCGGACCGTGTGCTGACCGTTGTGTGGGCCGTTGTGCACGGACTATTGTTGTAAAGTTTACGCTCCAGTGCACACTCCGGAGTATTGAAACGTGAGGTTTTGGCAAGAAATATTGTGCAAATACTGTTGAAATCACTCTTGCGAATCACTATTTGTGGCGTTTGGCTGTACATCAGAAATTGGCTTGGAAATTTTGCCTTTTGAAAATTTGAAATTTTGAGCAAAAATACACCCGGCGCGAAGTGGTTAAACAATATAGAGGTGAATTCAACATTTTAAGGGGAGTGGCTGAGGTGTTTAGGTCTGGGGGGGGGGGCAGTTAGCCAACTGCCACCCCTATAAATCTGCCCGTGCAATGTGTTGTTGGACAGGGCTGCAGTTGAGTCCACCACAAGTGCCTGCAAGTCCTTCACAATTCCTCCAGTACCAATTCAACTCACAAGCTATTCAAATGAGATTTTACAAGATTTCTGTAATACAGGGTGACCCCCAAAAAAGCTGTGCAAGCGGACACTTTTTTGGGGTCAGTACAGTATGCCGGTGTAGCGTGAATATCCGACTCCATGAAATGTGGACTCATTGGTAGTACTGCGCACGCATGATTACGATGCTATTTTTAGGATAGTTTCAGGAGAGTGACCTGTCGCGTGCGAGGGATCAACCAATAATAGGGAAATAGGGGTCCGATTTTCATAGGAGTCAGATTTTCATGTGACACCGGGATGGCCATGAGTGTGTTTAACATGAGGGCTGATTTTGTTGCAAACATGTGCTCTTGCATAGTAGAGCTTTGGTAGATTTTGTAAATTCTAACAAAAGGGACATATTATTCCTTTAGATTTGAGTTTTGTTCCAGAAGGTACTGTTTGGGGTTGGTTTTTTTTGGTTCATTCTTTATAACCTTTGACCTTGTTCATGCTTTTATTGATTCTCAGTTGGACAGTGAAGAAGAAGAGCATGAAGGATTTGATGCGTCTGAATGAAGACGGGAACGTCATCTAGCTGGGACCAGACAAGACTAATCAGCTGGAGTCCATCAACCCCCCAAACAACTCCATGAACTGCGTGTGGCCTGCCTGTAGCATTATCCTTTGTGCAATGAATTATCTGGATCTTTTTAATATTGGGTGCAGACCTTTACTGACATAGCTTTATAAGCACTGTATGCTCGGAGCTGTTCAAGAGGTACGAGAACTCGGAGCTGTTCAAAAGGTGCGAGAAAAAAAATCATGAAGCTTGCTTGGGTGGGACAGGCAACCACGGCCTTCTGTGCAGTAGTGCATATGCCTTAACTGCTCAACCGTCAAGCCTGCTGGGGTTGGCTGGCCATTTCAAATATGATATAGACAAACTTGGTGACAACAGTGGCAACAGGCTCGTGCGAGTCGCACTCAGGTACACGTATGTAATACGCATCCACTCTGGGTTCCTTCGACCAAAAGGGTTACCAAGATGGGCGCGCGTACCGTCTTTGAGAGCGCATGCGGCATGCACGTGAACGTGGCTCCATCGCAAAAATGGCTCCTAATTTTGTTCGGCATATTCCAGTATAGCAGTGGACATGCAGCCAATGGGTAATTCCACGGTTATTCACGTTACATTTTTGTAACGTGAGTAACCTATTTTGTGCGTCATGTTTATCATACATAACACATTTTTCTGGATGTCATCTTTGGTGCTTAGGTAGGTCTAGGTCCACTCTATCTACCATGGGGATAACAGTTATTAAACCTTTTCAGTAAGGTAATTACAGCCCAAGGAAACTCAAAAGTACATCAAAAATGTAACGTGAGTAACCGTGGAATTGCCCCAATGACTTTTCACAATTTTTTTTTGAGGGGCAAAGTAAGTCAGTGTGGGGCAGAATCAAGTAAAATATTTTCATCATCCAGAGGCAAAAATGTTTGTATAACATCGTTGGAATCCTGCTCATGTAAATGCACATAGACATAAGCGACTTATTAACGAAAGTCAAGTGACTTTTCCCGTTTTGTTTCATTTGATGAGAGATTGGAAATTTTACACATTTTACCATTTGTTTAAAGCCTTGTATTAAAAATCCAATGTAGCAAAATGCAGCCAGTGTAATGAAGAAATTAGAATCATTGATAACAACAAAGTTGTTGGTTGCCTGACTGTTTAGCTTTTCCGCTATCACCCTTTAAATTTTAATGTTTTTCATCTTTTTTTTTAAAGCAAGCATGGTTAATTTCATGAAACAGATTACATACATGCACCTAGAATTGAACATTAATTTTAAATTTTGATAATGAATGCCATATTTTGGTGTCGTTCAAGTCTAGCTCATTTGAAAATTGCCAACCATCATATTTATCAGTGCCACATTAACCTATGTACATGTATTGCATTAAGTGTATTTCTAAATATCAATGATGGCCGACACAGATTACAAATTACTATCAGATAATAGGCAGCGGTTAACTTGTAGAAAACTCCTTTTATACATAACCATGTCTGGTGTTATTAAAGAGGTTGTGGAATGCTCGAAAAGACATTTCCGTCATTTTTTGGGTATATGTAGCCTAAGGTGTGATGAAATAAAAACGACTATTGTTTCTTTCATGCAATGAGTACAAAGGGTACTTTTGAGAGCTATTTTTCAGGTCCTGTTTCGACCCGAACGTGCAATTTGTGTAAAAGTCGTCGTTGCGGGCAGCAAACAAAACACAGTAAATCGTGACGTAATAAACAGGACTCGTTTATGCTACTCTGCATCGGGATTCCTGTTTATTACGTCACGATTTACTGTGTTTTGTTTGCTGCCCGCAACGACGACTTTTACACAAATTGCACGTTCGGGTCGAAACAGGCATGACAGGACTTGAAAAACAGCTCTCAAAAGTACCTTTTGTACTCATTTTATGACAGAAACAATAGTCGTTTTTATTTCATCACACCTTAGGCTACATATACCCGAAAAATGACGGAAATGTCTTCGAGCATTCCACAACTTATTTAAACTTATTGTGATAGAACTATTTGCAAGTAATATTGTCAAAAAGAAAGAGGAAAAATATATATGCAATTTTGTCACAAGTATGGGGGGAAAGGGTGCCATGTCGTGCCCATTTTATTTTTGTAGATGACTCGGATTATTGTGGATGTGTCAGTTGAAGGAGATTTACTACAATGTTGAAAGGATGTCTCAGTGATGAACAGAAGTTCTGCGGCCAAGGAGTAAAGTATTTGTGTCCAATGTATCCTCCTAGCAGTTGTATGAAGTTACTGAAATTGAACACGTTTTAAATGTACGTGTGAAGGAAAATTACTTAACGCTTTTTTTGAACAACTCAAATTCGTTAAATCTGAAGAGGATTCACTTCCTTTTCTTGTCTTTCTGATTTTTTTTTGCTCTTGGGTTTGTTTGCAGCACTGTGTTTTTTTTTTTTATATATCAAAGGAACCTTTTTTGAAAGTCTTTCCTTTGAGACAATTTTCTTACTGGACAATCAGTCATTTCGCAGTGCCAATTTTGAATAACCTATGTATTGTAAATGGAAAATACAGGGCGTCTCCCAAAAAAATGTAGCAGTCAAACAGCATTTGTTTCTTAGGAAACTAAATTGGTGTTTTTTTGTGTGTGTAAAACATTACCATGAGATGATAGAGTGTTTCTTTACCCTTGACGGGATTTTTGTTCTGTGTGTTTTGGACTTTTTCTTTCAAAGTTACGGCAAAGCTTGTAAAGACTGTCAAAATCTGTTTGGGCCACTTTTTTCACCTTGTTGGTATGTGAATGCCTTTCATTAGATACCAAGTGGCCCAACTTGGAATTCAAGTCACTTCATTTAATTAGCTGTATCTCTGGACTGGGATGTCCAAATGAGATGGGATCAAGACCATTGTGTAGAGTATTTACTACAACTTCAGACTCTATAGATAAGTTTTGCAAAAAGAGAGTGCTATAGTGTTTTTATGGATTTTTATGCAAAATTTATGTTCATGGATTGACAGCTACATTTTTTTTGAGACACCATGTACATGTTATGATTTTGTTTCAATATTTATTTTTCATATTTAATACTCAAGATGAAACATGGAAATAAAAAAAGAACATCCGCTATATATGCATTGCTATTTCATGTACATTGTTCAGATTCAGGCCGGTCGCATTCAGAAATATGTTCTTATAAAATGTGCTCATAACTTTGACTGGAAACAATGATCATTATATTTTACATAAACGCACATTATGTTTTTGTTTTATTTTATAAACGCACATTATGCTTTGGTTGTATTATAGCATTGGTGTCAAGTTGGATTACTAATGAAGTTATTTAAAATTGAGATTTTGCAATTTTTATGAGAACAGATCAATTGATGTGTGTCCGTCAGACGATTTGGTGATTAGTAAATGATTGCTTGATTTGTGAATGATTAATGGATTGAAATAGCAGGGGAGATTGATTGGTTGACTTATGCGTTGAGTGTATAGTTGTAGTGTGGATTGTTTGTCGGTCAATTGATTGGTTGATTTGTTTGTTTGGGCATTGACCCACTTGGTGTCAGAAGCGTGGTTAGTTGGCGGGTCGGTCAGCTGGTCAGTTGATTGTGTATGTTGATGTCTTGATTTTGAAAATTGCTTTGTTTATGGAGAGGGTGAATGATGGATGGATGGCGATCATTGTGAAGCTGATAAAATTGGTGGATCGATTGATGTGCTGATAAATGTATAAACGATTGAATGGATTGTTAGTTTGTTGATCAATCAGTTGATTTGTTTGTTTAAGGGTTGACCAACTTGGATTCAAAAGCTTGGTCAGTCTGTTGGTCAGTCGGTTGGTTGGTCAGTTGGTTGGTTGTTTGATGTTGTGAGTAAATGGTCGATTCTTAAGTTGATTTAAGGTGGATAAAGGAGAATGATGGATGGATAGTGATTATGGTGAAGCTGAGAAAATTAGTTGATTGACCGATGTGCTGATGGATGTGTAAATCATTGTATGGATTGATTGTTAGTTTTAGTTGATTTGGTTAGTGGTTGATCCACTCAGAGTCAGAAGCTTGGTCAGCCGTTATGTCGGTCAGTCAGTACGTCTGGCATTTGGTCAGTCGGTCAGTCAGAGTTAATATTTTAGGTGGCTGAAGAGGGAGAATGATGGGTGATGATTATGCCATGGTGATGTGGGTGAAACTGATTGATGATGGTATAAACGATCGTATGGATTGTGGGCTGATCAATTGGTCGGGTGATTGGTCAGTTGGTTGATTGTTTGGTTTGTCAGTCAATCGGGTCGGTCAGTCAGTTGATTGGCTGGTTGATCTATGTTGATGTTTTGATTCTGATGTTGATGTAAAGTGGCTTTAGAGTAAACAATGGGGCAAGGTCGCGCAAGAACTATTGCTGACCATTGGTTAACCATAGTTCGACTAAAGTTAGCCTGAACTCTGTCTAGTCGACGGTGGTTGACTACGCTAGTCCACTATTTGAAACCAGCCTACTGGGCATGGTTGCATCGCTGGTAACCAATAGCCGCATGCATTCATAATGTACAGCAGGGAGCCTGAGGATCCAGAAGTTTAGGATGACATTTTGACCAGCGTTTGACTCGAGACGTTCGCACGTTGCTATTAGTGCGCAGGCGTAAGGTACGTCACAAATCAACCACTAGTTGACTAATGGTCTTTGCCCGAACTTGGCCTAAGATGATGATGATAGTGATGTTGATGAGATGACAAACGCGGTGAGACTAGTGGTGAGAGTATTGATGTGACGTTAGTGGCGAGTATGGCTGTGGTGATGTCGGTCACTGCAGTTTATGCTGAAAAAAAGGAGGAGGGAATAGTGCTGGTGTTTATGACTCTGCGTATGATTGTTGTCATGGGGGTTCTGATGATGATCATTGATGATGATTAGGCCAAGTAAAAAAAACCCACTAGTTTTACGACGAGGATGTTTTTTTTTAAAGGAAGGAGGTGGTCTCCCCCTTTTTTTTGTTCTGAGATGGTACATGTATATAGATTCATCAATTTCTTTGCTCTTTTGCTGATGTTAAATTGTGTCCAAAAAAGCCGCCACCTTTTCTATCATATTTTGAACTTGTATACACAAAATTTGATTGGAAACAATAATAAGACAAAAATATATTGCAATATATGATTTTTAAAAAGGGAGGTGGTGGTCAGGAAAAAGAAAGCGGAAGGTGACGAGAAAATTTTTTTAATTTTTACTTGGC